TGGGGGACGGGTGGGCAGAACCATCGGAAGTACGCAGTCCTCACGTGAAAATTTCCCTCCGTCCCCGTTCCACCCCCCCAAAAAAAGTTTCCAACGCAAACAACAACTTCAGTTGCCCTCCACGATCTCAACGTACCTACCTCAGATTTTGGGTGCTGATTTGCTTTTTATCGGAATTTTGAGGGCTACGCGACACGGATCCTTGTGTTGGACGTTTGAAATCACGGGACTTTATTGTTGATACTGGTTGCGGTTTTCGGTTTCGTTTCAAGGAATTGAGGATTGAGGGTTAGGAGTAGGATTGGGACGGAGATCGCCATGGCTGCTTCTGATTTGGCTGTTGCGAAGAAGGAGGAGGGGAAGGTTAAGGTTAAGGAGGTGAAGGATAAGGAAGAGAAGAAGGAGAAGAAGAAGGACAAGAAATCCAAGAAGGAAAAGGAGGACAAGGACGAAAAGAAGGAGAAGAAGAATGAGAAGAAGGAGAAGAAGTCCACAAAGGCCACGAAGACCAGCACGGACGAGCGCGACGACCCCGTGAGTGAGAAAGCAGACACGAAAAAGCAATCGAAGAAACGACGTCTGGAAGACGATGACGACGACAACGTCGACGAGGCGAATGCTGCCACCAAGGGAAAATCGGCTGCGGATGAGGAGCGGAAACAGAAGAAAAAGAAGAAGAGGGTCTCCTTCTCGGCGGACGTGAAGTTGGAGGATGGCAGCGGAGAGTCCGAGGCGGAGGATATGGAGGTCGATGGATCGGAACAACAACAGCAGCAGCAGCAGCAGCAGCAGCAGCAGCAACAACAGCAATTAGAGGCAAACGGCGCTGCGGAGGAGATGGATTATGAAGGAGATGGGGAGGATAAGAAGAAGAAAAAGAAGGAAAAGAAGAAGAAGAACAAGGACAAGGACCACAAGTCCTCCGCTACGGCTGCTGACGCCAAAATCCACGAGACGCCCATCCTCTCCTACCTCAGTCTTTATCACAACCACCGGTCGGCGTGGAAGTTTCAGAAGAACCGCGAGACGCATCTGTTCAAGCATGTGCTGTCGCTGGAGCAGGTCCCCGCGCAGTATAATGCGGCGCTCTTGGCGTATCTGCAGGGGTTGAAGAGCGAGGGTGCCAAGCTGCGCTTGAAGGAGATTGCGGAAGAGGTTGTCAAGGCCGATGTGGAGGTGGAGGAGCAGGAGGAGGAAGAAAAGAAGAAGAAGACAACGGCGACGACGACGCAAGCTGAGGAGGATAAAACGGAAGGAGCTGAGGAGAGCACCGATGTGGCTCCTGAGCCCAGTTACAAAAAGGCCGTCGCCTCGTTCCGGACGCTCTTGTCGGAGGGCAAAGAGAACCTTGAAGGTCTGGAAGGCACCGAGGGCCTTGACGCTACGCAACTACAGAGGCTGCAGAAGAGACAGCGCGCTGAGCTCATCCTCTGGGCTGTCACCGGCGCCCTGTTCAATCTCGAGAAGCCCAAGCTTCCCCCACGGATGGCGAAGAAGAACCAAACGCCAGCCAAAAAGAAGAAGAAGAACAGAACCGCTATCATCGAGATCTCCAGCAGCAGCGAGAGCGACAGTGACAGCGACAGCGACAGCGACAGCGATGACAAGAAAAAGACCAAGAGTCCGGCCAAGAAAGCTTCATCCTCGGACGAGAGCAGCAGCAGCAGTGATAGCGATAGTGATAGCGATAGTGATTAGTCACTTGATGCTGCATGTTGTTATTCAACCTGAATTGTACAGACTGGTCTCTGTGCTTCGCTACTTGACGTGCATGACAACTCAATTCCGTCCACATATGGTGGCTATTATAGCTCTATACTTTTGAGCTCAAAAGTTCTTGATACCTGGTTCAACCATACAAAAGCGGTCTTTTGTCGGATCTACGGTGTTGTATTTCTTCTTTCGTGGTGTATTGTTAGCTGTATAGACTCTCCGTATATATCTAGAAGCCGTCAGCTGATATGAAAGAGCTACAACCCTTCATATCAAGCCTATTTATTCCGAAAGCATTATAGTATTGCTGCTGTGTGGTTGCTGGGAGTAAATGTACTTCGTGTTGGGTGGCAGAGCGAATTGACGGAGATGGGAAAGGCGGTGACTGGAGCTTACTCAACAGAGCCCCGAAGCTTAGAGCTTCGGCCAGGCACCCTCTGGCACGCGTCCTCTGCCTCCATCCTCATCCTCCCTCCCCCAAATCCTCCCCCATTACACATCCTAATCTCTCTTTGCTCTCAATCCTTCCGCTCGGTCGGCTCGAATATCTAATCTGTGAGATACATATACCGCCGCCGCCATGTCTGGTAAAAACAGATCCCTTCCGATTGTGCTGGCTCGAATGACTTCATCGATTGACTGACAGCTTTTGTGAACAGGAAGCGCCTACGATCGACACATCACCATCTTCTCAGACCAGGGTCGTCTGTATCAAGTTGGTAAGTCTATCACTCGTTATGAAATCTTCCCCCTCCGGCTCCGCCCCCGATGGCGCTCAAACGGTCTCCGAGAACACTCGACTTACCATCGACCTCCCGTCGGCGCTTAGAATATGCCTTCAAGGCCATCACCTCCGCAAATATCACCTCATTAGGTGTCAGGGGGAAGAACTGCGCCGTGGTTCTGTCCCAGAAGAAGGTCGCTGTAAGTTTCCATGGTGGGGCTGAGAACGCAAGCACAGCATGGCCTGACGTACATCCTAGGATAAATTGATCGACCCCTCCTCCGTTTCGCATATCTTCAAGCTTTCTCCTTCCGTCGGATGTGTCATGACCGGTTCCATCGCCGATGCCAGAGCGAGTGTTGACCGTGCCCGTGGAGAGGCGGCCGAGTTCCGGTACAAGTACGGCTACGAGATGCCCTGTGATGTCCTTGCCAAGCGCCTTGCGAATATCAACCAGGTCTACACGCAACGGGTTCGTGCTTTGATCGTCTTACTCTGGGGTTGTGGGAGCGACGTTTACTGATACCAATCATCTTCTTAGGCTTACATGCGCCCGCTCGGCGTCGCCATGACCCTGATTTCCGTGGACGATGAGAAGGGGCCCCAACTCTACAAGTGCGACCCGGCAGGATACTATGTCGGGTACAAGGCGACCGCATCCGGCCCCAAGCAGCAGGAGGCGCTTAATCACCTGGAGAAGAAGCTGAAGAACAAGGACTATGCCGAGGGCAGCTGGGAGGAGGTGGTCGAGCTGGGCATCACCGCCTTGAGCAATGTGTTGAGCGTCGACTTCAAGAAGCATGAGCTGGAGATCGGCATTGTCGGAGGGCCTCGGGCTGACGGCAAAGAGGGCACAGATCCAAGCTTCCGTGCCTTGACAGAGGACGAGATTGACGAGCGGCTGCAGGCCATTAGCGAGAAGGACTAATTGAGTTGAGGAAGCAAGCATCCATTGTTGTTAGAGACAAACGATCCATGAATATTACTTTTTGTGACGCTACTATTGGAACTTGATTGGCCAACCCCCGATCTGGTAGATGTGTTCCCTAGGTCTTTCCTCTTGACTTGTCAACTGCCGGTCGATCTCAAACCTTGGACAGACGTCCGTGCAGGCGCTTACTCGGAGTCGGAGATGGCGAAGCTAGAGGTCCCACTTGTTTCTTTCAGACGGAGGCGATTTGGAAGCAGGGGTCAGAGTCAATGTGATAGACCTGAGGCCCTTGCTGCAAGATGACAGGCTTGATGAGATATCGCAGAGCAGTTCTCTGGAAGAATAGACGACAGCGGCCCCGCTGCGGGAGTTGATTACAAGTAGCATCACACTGGGGCATGGAGTAAGAATCGCCTATGAATAGGTGTTGTAAGCGAGGTGGCCGACGCTCGAGCTTACATGAAAGCTCTTGTGCCTTGATGTGTTTTTGCCACCGAGAGCGATATCTGCATGGGGAGTCGGAGAACTACTCGTATTATGTTTGAATTGAAGATAGTCGAGTTGAGACCGAGCCTGAGGCTGGTGCGTGGGTTTGCTTTTCCTCTTTCAGCTCTTGCCCGGTGTGTGGCTGAGCTGGAATTGTGGCTTGCCCATTGAGTTTTCCCTCTCTGTGTTTCTCTCTCTATCACACACATTTATTGTCTAACAAGTCTATTATTGTTGTCACTATTCCACATAGTGCATACATGTTGACTCCGTCACCGGCGCCAACGGTTGTCGGTGGCTGATATCTTGTCCTGAGCCATTACTGCTGCAGCCACTTATCCCATCTTAACCATATCTCCGAGGGTGATGACTCCGACTGGGTCTGTACTACTGGAAGTGTGGCGTAAGGAAGCGAGGACTTCCCAGCTGGAGTCTCTTTCACCACCGTTTCACTAGTCAACATGCCACGATGACGCTTTCCCCACCGAGTCAGTGTATCTGTGCACATTGCACATCTGACTGCACGGGTTGTTACCGAGATCTAGTGTCTTGTCTACACCCGGTAAATCCATTATTGTGTTTCTGTCATACCAAATTCTTCGCTCGGCCACAAACAAGTGGGGTTAAATTCGGGTTCTGTAGTATTCTTTCTTTTCTACAATTCCATCTTTTTTTTTTTAATCAGGTTCCATCTAGTCAATTGGGCCTCAATTCAAATTCCACTGTCGGTTTTTCATGTGGATATTGCCGAATTCTTGCTTCTGGGTCGGATGTATCCTTTCTTTTTCTTCCCCCCAAGTACGGAGTATGCATGATCTTATGCAAGCCCCATCAGCCTAGGGCTGGGTTCCTGTTCCAGGGCCAGCTGCATAGTCCCCACGCTTAGACTAGATATCAGCCCTCGCTCCAAATCGGAGACCCAGACATTGCAAGCGCTTCCGACACATGGCTCTCATGGGCTTGGCTCCTGCCGTTGCTCCACTATGGCTGTTGTTCTCCAGCTGCCATCTCTCGCCGCGATGTCTTGTCCTTGCTCCATCGGCTTCCCAATGCGTGCAGCCAGCCACGGTGGGTGGATGACGATGATGATCCCCTTTCCAGCGCAATCCCCCCATTGCGACGTTGAAACCATGGTGAGGATAATAAGCTTAAAAGGATATCGCCTCCTCAGCCATGGGACTGTAGAATCTGAAACCAACGCTCTTCTTCCTTTGGGCCCAACGACCTCTTCGCCTCGAGCGCTCAGTCAATTGGCTTGCTCCTTTCTTTTGGCCTTCTTCCTGCCAGGCGTCCAACTGTGGCTGTATCCACTTGATTCCTTTAGTCTTTTGAAGATCCAATCGTTTGCCATTCCTTGGCTACTATATCGCAAACATTAACAGAGACAACCACTACTGCCATGGCTGACGGACGTAAGTGTTGCCATCGTTCCCTTCAGCTATGCGTGGAAGGAATAAACACCATTGAAGAAGAAGAAGAAGAAGAAGAAGAAGAAGAAGAAGAAGAAGAAGAAAGGCTAATCAATCCGAGTGTCGCAGTCAACCAAGCTCGCGCCCTCCGAGTGGCGGAGATCATCAACGACTACCGGACTCTTCTCATGCACATCTCCCAGCAGAATGTCCAAGCCCCGGCAGATGAGTTCAATGAAGAGGGGTATAAAGTGATCCGAGACGGTCTGGCTGCTGCGCAGGCTTTGATGTCATCCAACTACAACCCTTGCGCGACGCCAGCCCATGCCGGCAACGTCGAGGTCGAGAAGGCGGAATTGCGCAGGTATGCAGATATATTACTTCTCCCCTTCTCTCGGGAGCCTAGCCAAGCTCTGACATCAACTTTCAGAGTCATCCTTGACGCTAGCGCCAGACGATTCCAGGCGCATCGCATCTACTTGAAGGTCGCGGCCGCCAGACGATGGGTCATCAATCGCCAAAACATTCTGCGTGGACAGCGGCCGGGACCGCAGCACGCGGCTCAGTTGAAGAACGCCAGCAACACGTTCCATGCTGTGAGTTTCTCTTTGCGATCTTGATGCAATTCAGGGTAGTATTCAGTCTGACTGACCATCGTTGCGCACAGGAACTGGCTCAAGTGACCGAACAGCACGTGGTGGCTGATCTCCGGGCAGCCGACACCCGGGCGGGTCATTGGCTCAACGACGACCCTTCTCTGCCTACGATCCTTCAATGGATTCGGTCTCATTCATGAGATTTTTTTTATGTCAAAGCCTGTGAAAGAGCAGCGAGTTTGAGTGGTGTATGGATACGATGATGTCGATAATCACGGGACTACAGTACCGGTTGGAAAGCGTCCACTGGATGCATGTTTCTCTATTGTTGCTCAGCGCTGGTCGCTTGCAATCGATGGGTTTCGACAAGGAAAAGCTGTTTTGTGTGGAACGTATGAGTTTACCTTCTTTTGGTTCTCGGTTTTTTCTTGTCGTGTTTTGAGTATGTGTTGACGGTTTATGATATCCCTGGATGTGATGCTTTACGCTAGACGTGAATTGATTGGATGGGTGTGTTTTCGGCTCGATGTACTCCGACTATATGGCATTAATTCTTTTCTGTTTCTATTCTTTCTGCTTGGAGTATATCTCCTACTCAAGGATCGAGTGTGACTCGTCTCGGTTCTTCCCAGAAAAAGCTGCTGAATATGCTGAGCCCACGGTATAGTGAGTGCCCTACATAGATGGTGACATCGTTTATTGTATATTTTCCGAACCGAAGGCAAACTCCGTTTCGCTTCAGTGGGTCCGGCGGTTAGAAGTGGAGACGGGCAGGGAAACACCATGTCTGACTGTCTTTTTGTTCGGGTATGAATGTACTGTACAGTACAGTAGGGCAACTCCAGCGGCACCATGAGAGCATCAAATCCATCACCTACCGTGCTTAGTACTTGGTACAGAGCCTGAAACAAGCGATCACTTCAATATCTTTCTAAAAGTCAATCCGATCTGCCGAATCTGAACACAGGATCCCAATTCCGATCGACAAAAAATCTCTGGGCGAACATCAGAGCTGGACAGTGGGGTTGGTGTTTTACCATTGACTGTATGTACAGTACTATCTGTAGGGCTCCTCTGCCGGAGATACCGAACGTGCATTTAGAACCGTGGAGTCGGGGAATACCTTAAGACGAACATCCCAGCTGAATAGTTGCCTGATCCTTGAGTCAGAGTCGACAACCCCACAGAAAGAAGGGCTGAGAACGGGGGCCTCACCCGTGTGCCGCTGCCGTTTTCTACAGAGAATCTTTTTTAGCACGGGAGTGATGCATGGTGCGTTGTTCTTTATTTTTCTTTCTCCCTGATTGGATTTTGGGAGGTGATGCCAGCCGATGTGTGGCCGTGCAAATCGTGATTGCTAAAGGAATGGAGGTTAATATTGATGTGGCCAATTAGATGGGGTTGAGTGGGGGTGGACACTGCTGGGCTGCGGGCAGGTGGAGGGTTCAGCTGAGGTTGTACTTGTGAGGGAGAGAGATCCACTTATTCCCGTCCCGTTGCTTTGCTTGTTGTATGTTGTGTGTCTGTAGCGGGTTACAGCTGGGATGGGGTTGGGGCTGTCGGTCGGTGGGAATTTGATGGGCAGAATTTGCGAAGACGTTGTCAGGGCGTTAGTGTTTTTCTTGTCATAGGATGTTTGGCATGAGTACAGGACAGTACAGTACTACAGGTCAGGTTTTGGGATGGCCACGAGGGTTAGGATGTGGCAGCCACGTTGTTTCCTGTCCATGGTCACTGGTCATTGTTTCTGTACTCAACCATTTGCCGTAGGTGGTTTCTTCCTGATGCCCTTATGCAAACCCCTATGTTTGCTTCAATGCATGATGCACCTTGCACTGCTGCTGAGATCGATCTCTTCGTTCCCAGATATGTATCATGCACAGGGGGCTGGTCTCTTTATATTCAACCGGGAGGCGAAAAGTGCGCGCGAGTCGGTATACGGACTACGTTTTTTGAGCAGGTACGAATATCTCTCTCTTTGAAGTCGGCTCGTGAGTGGCGACTCGCGAGGTATGCTTACCTTTATTGGGGTTTAGCCACTGTGTTTCTCCTCTGGTCATTGGGACACAGAATGTTAGCGTATCACCGGATTAGTCCTTGAAGTTGAATGACCCTCAATTTTTGGGCTTTGAATGGGGAAGTCTGTTTGTCTAGGAACCAAATACCAGATTTGGCATTCATTTGGCCCCTTCGTTCACGCCGGTTCGTGCCGTCTGTGTGTCGAATGAGATGTATCCAAGTCGGAATGTGGATGTCGAAGACAGGCGGAGGACGGATTGAGTGCTGCCCTCGCTTCGTGAGCATGCCACGGATACACTCTCACTGGTAATTCCTATCAAATCATACAGTATCTACTCAGTCACTGAAGAGAAGTGAGGTAAGGACTTGGGTTCGAATCAACAGTTCCAAGAATAGAAGTGTCTATCCGGCGGCGGTGCAACTGTGGCTAGGCAGGTGGAACAAAGTGGCTTGCCTGCGCCGGCTTATGTAAATGCGCTGGCGGATCGGGTGACGACATGAATCCAAAGCTAAAAGTAAACAAAATAATAAGCATGAATGTGCAGGGCCCATTGATAAGCTCTTCTTGAAAACGCCAGCAATAAATGAATTAAATCCTCAAGCTAGGCTCTTCAAGGATCCTTATGCCTCGATCATGCTGTATAACTGTGGCTGCAGTCATGCCCTGTATGACTCTGCCATGCTGCCAACTGTACTGTGACGGATGCACTGTCTGGAGAAGATGCGATGCTGCAATCCCCGCGTGGTCGACTTTGAGTTTCGCACCCCTGGTTGTTATCGCGAATAAGCGAATCTAGCCGAGGGTCAAAATTCTTCACAGAGTCTCAAGTGATGGGGATCAAAAGGGTTATCTGTCATGCGAATCCGGACCTAGGTCTTGATCCTCGAGGGGAAGACTCCCAATCTGATAGTCCAAGGCTCGGGGTCTTGAGCCGCCTGGTCAAGTATGGACCGGATGAGCTGAGCATCATGATCCAGACGCATGACGGCGATCAAAGAAAGTCCAAGTCGTTGAGGAGGCGAATCATGGGAGCCAAGGTTGCAGCATCTCATCACCGGGGAAGGGGTAGGTAGCATTAAGGTAGTGGAATCTCAAACCTAGAATCCTTTAGTAAACCTTGGGATGGTCTTCGGGCTTGAGTGGCATGACTTATTGGTAGGTAGGGTAGGTAAAGTAAAGTAAGTCGGTTACTAACCGTCCAACGAGACCGCCAGGCCAAGGCGTCCGCAGCGGGATCATCCCCGGAGGCTGCCAAAACTCACGATCCACCAACGTCACACTTGATGGTAGAACGCCTTAACTGCTTACCCCCCGGAGGCTACAAGAAACGACCATCTCGTTGACAAGGCTACAGTGCAAGCACTATTTAAGAGTCGAACTCGTCCTGCAGATTATGGCCTTCTCTGCATCCATTCATTTCCTGGTCATTCTAACCATTGTGCTCATCTTCTCGTTCCGATACTTCGGCGACAATCAGACAGTACCTCCGCTGCATCATAACTCCACAAGTACTCTTGTAAATACTACAACACCAGCTATGTCTTCCGGACTCAAGTCGGTGGCATACTTCGTCAACTGGGTAAGATTACTGCCTATTCAAAATGGGACGTAATCACGATGCTAATCCCTCCTCAGGCGATCTACGGACGCAACTACAACCCCCAGGATATCCCCGCGGACAAATTGACCCATATACTCTATGCCTTTGCCAATGTTCGCCCCGAAACTGGCGAAGTGTGAGTTGCCAACTGCCATTTATCATTCCCACTTCCTCCGCTACAACAACCCCGCTGATGTATGCATCAGCTACCTTTCCGACACCTGGTCGGACATTGAGAAGCACTATCCCACTGATTCGTGGAACGACGTCGGCACTAACGTCTATGGTTGCGTCAAGCAGCTGTTCTTGCTCAAGCAGCAGAACCGCAAGCTGAAGGTGCTATTGTCCATTGGTGGATGGACTTATTCGTCCAACTTCCCTGGCGCAGCCGCCTCGGATGCTAACCGGGCCAACTTCGCTACAACGGCCACCAAGTTGGTCACAGACCTTGGATTTGATGGTATCTAGCCTCTCTCGTCTTCCTGGTGGCATGACAGAGTTACTGATGACATGTTTTGCAGGTATCGATATTGATTGGGAGTATCCGAAAGGTTGGTTTCGATGCTTCTGATACGTGCAAGGTATAGTGCTGATACACAGGTAGACGATACCGAGGCCCAGAACATGGTTCTGCTCCTTCAGAAATGTCGTGAGGTTAGTGCATCGCTTCAGTGGACGAATGATGTATGCTAAATGCCCTAGGCGCTGGACAACGCCGCAGGTGCCAGCAGGAAGTTCTACCTGACCATCGCTTGCCCTGCTGGTAAGTACTAACCATAACCATAGTCCCGAGTGGAGGCAGTCTCTGATCTCTGACCCTCTATAGGACCGGACAACTACACCAAGCTCAAGCTGTCCCAGATGACGCCGTATCTGGATTTCTACAACCTGATGGCGTACGACTACGCCGGGAGCTGGGACACCGTCGCGGGCCACCAAGCCAATATATATCCTTCCTCTGACAAGCCCGCATCGACCCCCTTCTCGACCAATGAGGCCGTGAACTATTACACCCAAGTCGGCGGCGTGCCATCGGCAAAATTGGTGCTGGGAATGCCCCTTTATGGGCGTGCCTTCACCAACACCGACGGACCCGGCACTGCCTTCTCAGGCGTCGGAGGAGGAAGCTGGGAGAATGGTGTCTGGGACTACAAAGCGCTGCCCCAGGCTGGTGCCACTGAGAACGTGGATGCCAGCATTGGCGCGTCCTGGAGCTACAGTTCCAGCGCCCGCACCATGATCTCGTACGACACCGTCGCCGTGGGAGAGCAGAAGTTGAACTATATCAACCAGAAGCAGCTCGGCGGTGGGATGTGGTGGGAGCTTAGCGGGGATAAGGGAGGTAAGACTGCGAACAAGTCGGACGGTAGCTTGATCGGAACCTTCGTCGAAGGTGTGGGCGGGCTCTCGTCCTTGGACCAGTCGCAGAACGCACTGTCCTACCCGGAGAGCAAGTACGACAACCTGAAGAACGGTTTCCAGTGAAGCCCCGTAGAGATGCACCATATGACAAGAACATGGTGCCCAGTCTGACTTGCTTTTGGACATATACACGAGTTCTACATAGTTTTACAGATTCTACATAGCTTAGATGGGATTTTTTTTTTGGAAATTTTTTTTTCATTTGATTTGTCTCAAGGTCACTATGGAACGATCATAACGCACACGTCCCATACACCTCACATATCCAACCCTGCAACCTTCACTGTCGTAGTTCCACGGAGAAAATCGAAGCACATCCAGCTGGAGCGATAGATAGGCGACTTGTCAAAGGCCAATTTACTTGGACTCGTCGAAGACGTAGGTGAGGTGGCACTTGCCGCAGTACTGGCGGTTGTGCATGGCAGCCATGAAGATACCGGCACCGCACTGTGTTGGAGAAAGGAAATTAGTCAACCGGACCGAAGAGTAATAGGAAAAGATGTAAAACATACCTCGGGGGAGGGGCACTCGCGGCGAAGACGCTCGATCTTGCCATCACCGTCGACCTTGTAGTACTTGAGGACGGCGAGCTTGGTCTTCTTGTGCTTGTGCTTGATCTTCTTGGGGGTGGTGTAGACCTTCTTCTTGCGCTTCTTACCACCACCACGGAGGCGGAGCACGAGGTGGAGGGTGGACTCCTTCTGGATGTTGTAGTCCGAAAGAGTACGGCCGTCCTCGAGCTGCTTACCAGCGAAGATCAGACGCTGCTGGTCCGGGGGGATACCCTCCTTGTCTAGATTGGGGGAACATGTTAGGAATGTTGTCCTTCGATTATGCGAGGAAAAAGGATTGCGCATCATTTTTGATAGACTCACCCTGGATCTTGGACTTGACATTGTCAATGGTGTCGGAGGACTCCACCTCAAGGGTGATAGTCTTACCCGTAAGGGTCTTGACGAAGATCTGCATCTTGATGAAGGTCTGATAGCAAGGGCGACAGTTAGTTCTTGTGCCTCGTCCGGGGATGGCCTCTGCGAAAAGAGATTTTTCCAGAACAAGTTCATCCCCTCGTCATCCTGCAGACTTCTTTTTTCGCCTCCCGAATCATCTCACACAGAAACAAGATTTGCACTGTGCGAGATGAAACGAAGGGGATACAGAAAGGGGGCATGAATGAGGATGAACGTCCTGTAATCGCATCTCTTTCAAGGCAAGCGTAGGGGGCGTTCAACTAACCTCGACAAGACTTGTCTTCCTAAACCTTCAGTGACGATCGTGAAGGAGAAATATCTATGGTGGAGGCCGTTCGTTAAAATCGGTTGTGCGATCACGTGGACTAAAGTTTCCTGTTCAGGGTTAGTGCTCCTGTAATCGGATAATCCGCCCTCCGGGTACTCACAGTCATGTGACTGGGTTTCTGTCATGTGACTGTCCTCGATCCCCAGCCTCTTCCAGGCTCTGCGTCATTGCTGCCTGAAAGGTCCGGCGCCCAGTCCGCTGGGGGGCATCTTCCCGTCGGCAAAAGCCCCGGAAACGATATCCAGCTTATCCAGCTTATCCACTCCACTCAGTTTCGAAGCACAAATGATATCGTCATCACCGTCAGCATTCCCCCTCCCCCCCACTCACCCTGCCTCAGCTGCAAGATTACTCATGATCATTCAAAGCGCAGGAGGATTGGCGTCAATTATTTGAAGAACTATTGCAGAGATAGGGAGCGTCAATGAAGTACTCAGTAATAATGTTTCGAACCCTCACTGCCCACAGGCGGCTTCGATCCGCGACAGGATGGAACTGCCATCGGGAGCTGAACCGCGGTGCAGCTGGCGTCTGGAACTCTGGATCGCGCAGGGGAACACACCCAGGATCGCAGATAAAACAGGCTCCTTGCAGGGCCCGATCAACTTACGGCCTAAAGATGCTAAAAGTGCTAAAAGTGCGTTCGGACCAGGGCGCGATCCACTGCACTGGCGGGCTTCCATGCCAAGGGGCGCTGGTTGTCCTGACGCCTCAACCCAGCCGCGTTGCTACGCCAACGCCGCCATTTGTTGATCTGAACCGTGGTCGGTGGATCGGGATAGCTTCATCATCTCCATCCACCTACCTTGGTTCCCACCTCTAAATACCCTTAGACATCCTTTGTCTTGTCTCTTCCCCAGCCTTCCTGCCTCCGTTAACCCCGGAGCTTCAAGACTGTTTCGCAATCGCGACAGGAAAGCTCTAGAATCTATACAAAAAAAAAGAAGGCTGCTTCGGCTGCATCTTCCACTGCATTGACGATCTAGAAGGACCACCGCCAGAACCCACTTTGCATAGATCTGACGCACAGTCTACTTTGATACTTTGAAACTCTCTCCGTCTCTTCCATCTGTCCTGCCCTAGCTTAAACACCTAGACTTCTGCGCGCGTGAGTTCCTTTCTTCAAGAAATCACCGACTGACACAATTCCAGGGCGGTTTACTACCATCTGCTTGGCCCAGCCTTCTGGCTAGCGCTGCGAAGAGGTTGGTACTCCTATGCTGAATGATGTTTTTATGGCTCGCGCATTAGCTTTGACCCAGCAGGCTTACACCTTTATAACCTGCAGAAGAAGTCGGTCAAGTCATCGGCTCAACAATTGCGACCAGCGCGCGAAGATTCCAGTTCTTTCCCCATCATGCTGTCTACGCCGCACAGCAACTATCAAGAACGACATCGTCAACATCGGAGACAGATCTCAACGCCATCCGCTCTTGATGCCGTTAAACCTCCAACTCTTCCCGCACAGGCAATGCACCGATTTCACGCTCATCGCCGAGGCCAAAGCTTCGATGCGCGCGCTATGCGCGTTCAGCGATCGCAGTCCATGCAAGATGGTACCATCACTACTAACGTAACAGTACCGCAACAGCACCCAACCATGTTGGCACCCGCTCAAGACCACCGCTTTCTCCAAGTCGCGCAGCCAACTTTCCCCCACCATCCCGCGCCTATGCCCATGATGGCTGAATGCCAGGCTTTCTCTCAAGAAGACTTGCAATCCTTCGCCGCTCGTCAAAGCCAAGGAGGCCAATCAAACATGCCTTACATGAACGCAAACTTTATCAAGGTCGAAAGCCAACCAATGAACATGTCGCTCAACCTCATGCAACAGCAGCAGCAGCACCTCCAGGATGCGAAACTGTCTTGTCAAGCGTCCTTGGAGGGCCAAATCTTGGACAACGGAGCTTGGGATGTCTACCAACAGAACAATATCGCTGCAGCATTTCAGCAGCAACAAGCTAATGCCATGGTAATGGACGCACGGCGACTGTCGGCAGCACCTGCTATCAGTCAGCCGCACCCAGTGCATGCGCCAAAGCTTAGCAACGGACGTAAGTCCCCGAAGATATTTGTCCATCTCAACATGGCTCGAGGCTGACTAGTCGTGCAGAATATGGCCAGATCACACCTGCGGCCACCCCCTTCAAGCAAACAGTGGGCCTTGCGCACTACAATCCGGACATTCAACCTTCCCCAACTAAGGAGCAAAGCCTCTCCGTGTCCGGTTCCGCGCAGGCGTCGTACATGCAACGCGCGAAGTCTCTCCAAGGAGTAGTCGGAACTACGTTCTCCCAGCAGAAGTTTAACATGCCCTCTCCCCCTACTACAGCATCTTTTGAAGTGGATACCTTTGATACTTTTGACTTTGAGCAGGGTTCTAACATCGAAGTTCCTAAGTCTGAGAGTCTGTCGCAAGGGCCGTTTGCCTCGTCGTCATCAGCCTCGTCGTCCTTCGCTTCGTCACCAGAGCTCGCCGCCATGCCATGTCCTGAGGATGGCAGCGGAAAGGCACAGAAGCTCCCGATCTATCCTGCGACCCCCAACCGTGTGAATCACCGGAAGACACCGAGCGCAACCCCTAGCACCGCAGCCAAGCCGAAGCTCTCGCCGCGGGTCGCAACTATCGATAGCCTCAACCTAGACGCCCGCGTACAGGCATCAATCAAAGAAACCGGTGTCACCATCGACGAGATTGCGTCTTATATCCACGGCCCGGACCCTGAAGACGGCAAATGGGTATGCTTGCACCCGGGGTGCGAACGTCGCTTCGGCCGCAAAGAGAACATCAAATCGCATGTGCAAACCCACCTCGGGGATCGGCAATACAAATGCGACCACTGCAACAAGTGCTTTGTCCGCGGTCACGATCTCAAACGGCATGCGAAGATTCACACCGGCGACAAGCCCTACGAATGCCTGTGCGGTAATGTGTTCGCGAGACACGATGCGTTGACGCGACACCGACAGCGTGGTATGTGCATTGGTGGCTACAAGGGCATCGTGCGCAAGACTACGAAGCGTGGTCGTCCCAAGAAACATCGGCCCGAGATGGATAAGAGACAGGACAAAGCAGCCCGAACCCGTCAGCGTATCGCCGAAAAGGGGTCTTTTGATTCCTCTGCTTCCGACTCCTCGCGCAGCACCCCTCCGTCTGATGTCTTCGAAAGTATGAGCCTTCACGGGTCGAGCCCCTCGGAGGAAATGCCGGTTTTCAGCAACCCTAACTACTCACTGCCTCCGGAAGTATTCACCTTCACACCGCCCGCGTCTCCAGGCCACAGCACCGGGAACAAGCCGTCTCCGGCCCAAAGCCACCGATCGCTAAGCCCTACCACCGAGGACGAAATGCTGCCTTCGCCGATCAAGCAACCCCTGCACCGATTGATGTCCGACTCCAGCCTTCCCTACCTGTCAGATCCCGAGTCGTGTACCTACACCGATGGTACCGGCTCAGTCACCAATGGTCTCTCTTCCCCGCATTCCGCCCCAACTCTGACCGATTCGTCCGCTGGCTCCGAGCTTGATATCTTCATGAGTCAAGAATCGACTGCGACGTTCGCTAAGCAAGAATTCAGTGACCTGACTGAGACAGACATGGCCGCCTTCCCCGATTACGTGAACACGGCGACCTTCGAGACCGGAATGGACCTCTTCCCCGCGAAAGCCTATCCTTCGGGGCCTGCCATGGGTGACGATTTCTTCTTCCAGTTCCAAGTGGACGAGCAAGCCGCCGACGCCGTGACCAAGGAATTCTTCATGGATTGAAAAAGATACAGACGACAGCTACGATCACGATCTCGAGGTGAATTTATAACGACCAAACCAGCAATTTGACGACGCGATGACCTCAGGCTAACGCCCTATGTGCAACAAGACTCTTGACGATTTAGGACTGAACGATTTGGAACCATGCATATAAGATATGACCCCTTTGCCTTTTGCCCTTACCTATCTAAAGACCGAGACGACCCGAACATATGTGTACAATGTTTCCCACGAAGAACCCCTCCACCCCTCTAACCTCTGACTCCGTTTCTGAACCACTTCGATTGATTTTTTACCTGTGACAAAAGAAAATGTTCTGCTTCGCTGCTGCTCCTTTCCTGTTTCGTGTCTATTCCGGACGACCGACTCTCGCTCTTCGAAATCTGCAAAAAAACCTGATTCTATGATCTGATGCGTTGCAAACGAAACCCATGTACGACCAACCCCCACCCACCCCCTTCAGGACTTGTGGAAATATGCCCTTTTGCCAATTTACGGAGTTTCTCTTCTACAGATCGTCCCTTCGTTTTTGTTGAATGCCTTTTATGTGTGGATTTTTCCGAAGTGACCTTTGAGATTTATGCTATTTTGTGGATTTGAGAAACCTCCTTAAGATTCTGTGTCCCTTATTCGAATTTTGATTTGATTTGATTTGATCTCTCGAAACGAAACTCTGTTCCTCTACCCTTTTTTCTCTCTTCTTCCTGTGCTATTCTGATTCCGTTGTGCTCCACAATACCTCTCTGTTCATCTTGTTTTGTGTATGCGGAATGGGATGGAATGGGAATTTCTTTTTTTCTTGAGGCATTAATGCGAGATTTCACGAAAAGACCTCAGACACTCGTTTTTCTTATTTTGTGTGTATCTGAAGCTACTTTACTTTACCGTAGATTTCTTCACGAATCTACTAATCAATTTATTAATTCTTGATGCTTATTCTGTCTCCTCCAGTGTGGTAATAGCTCATTACTTCATCGGGCCGTGCGCTGGGCCAAGGAGGCGGCATTGCTATGGTTCTTTGCGATGATCCACCCACCTTGGCGTGTATTCCATTTACTCGTACGAGTACTTCTGTATGCAATTAGGAGAAAATGTCCTAAGCCATATTCGCAAAGTTGTACAACGAGAGTGGAGTCCGCGTTGAGGGTATCATAAGTAGTCGAGCTGGATTGTCATAATGTATGTACAGTACATGAGTTGGGGGCTTTGTATTCAATGCTGAGCCCCCTCAGTCCGAACCAGCTTCGTTGGATTGCTTCTTCTCCTTCTCCTTCTCCTTGTCCTTCTCCTGCTCGTGCACACGTTCCTTCCATAGTCGGAGGACCTCGAATCCCACCTCGACGGCAATGAGCAGGATGATGATCCATTCCAGGCGCAGGCCGTGCGTCTCGCTGAGCCGCTCCCGCAGCACGCTGGCGATCTCCTGGGCGTAGTCCATCTTCTCGTTCAGCAGCTTGATGCGGATGCCCACGTCGAGCGCCCGCCCGACCTGCTCATAGTACCCCTCCAGCCCCAGTTCATGTCGACTGTCCCAGAAGATGTCCGGCAGGGAATCAGTCAGCTCGGAGTAGAGGTTCAGCTGCGCGCGCACGCTGAGGAGCTGGCCCGTCTTGCGGAGGATGAAGTCGCGGGTGAAGGGGAGGCGCGAGCCCTGAGAGAGCAGGGTGGGGATGGTGCGCGTGGACTCGAAGTAGTTGGAGAGCAGGGACTCCAGCACGGCCAGCTTGGTGCTCCGCGCCAGCCCGGACGAGAAGGCTACCTTGGTCAGCACCGTATCCACCGACTGCTGCCGCCGCGCCGAGGCCGTTCCCGGGTTGTTGTTGTTGTTGTCCGGTCGTGCACCGAAGCTCAGGGCCGGTTTCGTCCCCAGCACGATCGTGTCGCCCTTGATGCTGCTGTTCTCCCGCTGCGGATCCTCCACGTACTCCAGGTCCTCCGTCTCCAGCTCGTCCACGTGAGCGCCCCGCGCGGCCGCCAGCAGCGTCCGCGTCGCCAGGAACGAGGTGAACGCCTCCGGCAGCGACCACGCCACCACCGTCCCGGACGGGAAGACGAACAGATCCCCGACCTCGTCCGGCGCCAGGTCCGACGCGTTGGGGTTGCTCACCCGCCGGATCGAGTCCAGCGGCACCTGCACGTGCACCACCTGCGGATACAGACCGGTCTCGTAGGGGTCCGGCTCATAGCCTTTTAACTGGAGAATCTCGCGAACCTGGTGGATGTCGAACTGTTCGGCCACGGCGTAGGCGGTGATTGTCTTTATACACCAGAGATAAAAAAAGTTAGCGAAACCATGAACCCGGGGGGGGGGCAAGACGGAGGGCCGGAGAGCTAATAAAATACCTTGACCGTGTATAACCCCTGCTCCCTGAGTTGGGCTTTCGATAAAATCCCGTCCTTGGACCGTTGCGCCTCAACGGCAACCCGCCGCAGCGATGTCTGTGCCGCTGGCGTCCGGCTGCTCCTCTTTCGCTGCTTCTGACCCTCGAACTGGAGTTGCTCTTCGGCGATCTCGCCATTTCTGGTCTGCTTCTGCGCGAGAAAAGCATGTGTAGAGAAAGTGTGTTCGCGTCGAGAAAGAGCGCCCAAGAAAGGCGAGGCTTGCAGATATTGGCTTCGGGGCTGTTGCGTGAACCTAGCAGCCACCGAGGGCCAATAACTCATGGAACCGACATGATAGGGTCGAGCGAACATGCTAACGCCGCTGATGACAGAGCCAGAGAGACCGGGATTGTGTCGCTAAGTAGTGGGTAGTGCCATACCAGACCGTTGCGACGGGTTTTGGTGTGGGTGGGACCTAATAATGCAATGCTTGACTGTTTGACAACGATCGATTATTGATTGAATGATGAGCGAACCGGGGAGAAGAGCTTACTCATCAGGGCGGTCGAAGCATTGAAGAAGAAGAAGAAGAAGATGATGATGATGGGTTAACTTGCGACTAACCCGATCGGGGGTACGGGGGTACTACCTATACTCCTCCAGCGGGCGACCCGACCGGGTTCTAGCTCCGTCTACCACTTGACCGCCGCGGCTGGGCTGGGAATCTGGGATGCTTCTCCCCAACACAGGCGTTCCAGTCTTCACAGAGCAGAGCTACAGCTCCCGCATTAGGCTCTCGCCATGGACGCGCCTGGCGCGACAGAGGCAACCGGGACTGTCCGCCAGGACGGTCACCCTCCCGACTCCCACCTTAGCCGAACCACATCCGAGGACAGGAAACACCGCTCCCAGCCTGCTGAGCTGGACGAGACGGACCACGGCCACAACGACGAAGAAACAGAAAGCGAAACCGAAGCTGGAGATGATTACCATGAGGAAGACGACAATGACGATGACGATGACGACTCGGATGAAGACGAGGACGAAGAACCACGTCTCAAGTATGCGTACCTGACCAAGCACCTTGGGGCGGTGTATCGCAACGGAGATGCAACAAGCGCCTTCCTAGCTGCTGGAGACAAGATGGTATTATTATTATACACCGGAGCCGACGAGAAGAAAGCATGCTAAGTGAACGTCTAGGTAATTGGCTCGCATAATGGGAACATCGTGAGTTGGTTGTTGTCCGGGGTCGGGATCATGCGAACACTGACAAGCTCCGCAGCATGTACTGTCGGTACCTCAATTGCGTTCTCTTCGTGTGTATCACGCACACTCTGCGAGTATAACTTCAGTCTCCATCTCGCCCTACCCTCCTCCTTTACCAAACGTGAAACCCGAGTATTTTGGCCGATTCGCAGATGACCCAGATCACGCCTCCTCCAAACTATCCTCCGGCGCCGCTAGCCTGCGTGGCAGGCAAAGAACAAACCAGCCGGCCATCCCGTCAACGCCATCCAACTCAATATACATCGCGACATCCTCTATCGACGGGAATGTCTGCGTTGCATCTTTGCTCGATTCGAAAGACGTCCTTTTGCGGAACTTCGGGAGACCCGTTCAAGCCGTCGCACTGTCGCCGGAGTACAAGAGTGATAGGACATATCTGTCGGGCGGAAGAGCGGGTGATCTTATCCTGACGGTCGGTGGCCGAGTCGGTGTGAGCACAAACTCGACGACTATGGGCGGCGCTGCTGCCGCCGCCTCGAGCTGGCTTGGATCGATAGGCCTCGGGGCCAACACTGGGAAGGACACCGTGTTGCACGGAGGCGAAGGTGCCATCAGCACGATCAAGTGGTCCTTGTCGGGTAAATATGTTGTGTGGGTCAACGAGGAGGGCATCAAGATCATGCGATCAAACCTGCACCTCGATTCGTCTGACGCGGAGTTCGCTTGGAAGCGCATCAGCCATATCGATCGTCCCAATCGTCCCGGCTGGGAGGAAATGGCCAGCGTGTGGAAAGCACACGCTGAGTGGGTGGACGAAAATTCCCTGGACCTTGATGACAGCCTGCAAACCAAGGGAGGCGTAACTCATACTGAAAGCTTGGCACCCACCGGTCCAACAATCGTCACAGAGAAAGTGGAAAAGCTGGTCGTGGGGTGGGGTGGTACCGTCTGGGTCATTGAGGTATACCCCGATAGACCAAGCAAGAATAACAGAGATCACAAAATTGGATCGGTGGAGGTAACCAGAATTCTTCGCACCGACTGTGTCATCTCTGGTATCTCCTTGTTCACACCGAAACTTCTGGTCGTCCTTGCGTACATGGAAGCAGAACAGGAGTCACCCGAAGACGACCGCAGCAAGCATGGTGGCCGTCAAACTGGAACGCGTCGTCGCCCTCGAGGCCTGGAGCCAGAGCTTCGAATCATTGATCTCCAAACGGAGACTGAGCTCAGTGCCGATAGTCTTTCGACCAGTCGCTTTGAGACGCTCACTTCTTCAGACTACCATATGTGCATCCTGCCTCCATGGAAAACGAGCGTACCTGCTTCGCAACGGGGAGCCTTGGAGACTATAGGAAACGGTCTCTGGGATGCTACATTCTATCCGGTGCGGCTTTTCAACTCGGGAGCTAGCATCCGCAGTACTACCAGCAGTGGTGACAAAGGCTCCAGTAGGGCACCGAGCATCTTTGCCTCACGACGAGTACCCGCGGAGGAGCCTCTTTCCAAAGAGATCCAGGACATGGCAGGGAGTATCGGACCCAAGATTCTGGTGCACAGCCCGTATGATTGTGTGGTTGCATTGAAGAGAGATCTTACGGATCGGTTGGCCTGGTTGGATGCACATGAAAAATACGAGGAAGCATGGGCATTGCTCCAGGAACATCCCGAAGCAGCCGGGTCCGGGAGCGAAATAAACGACACCATACCCGGGACGCCTTCGATATCCCAAGGAAGCTTTGGGGAATCGTTCATCGACGATGCAGCTTCTGTCATCACCACAACTGCTCGAACGGCCGCATCCGCTGCAGAGCAAGAGAAGCGTCGCATCGGGGAACTGTGGATCGAACAGCTGGTCGAGCAAGATCAGTGGCCTGAAGCCGCGGAGGTTTGCACGAAAGCGCTCGACACTACACACAGATGGGAGCATTGGTCCTGGAAGTTCGTTGAGAAAGATAAATGGGACGAGATCTCGTCTGTACTGCCCCTGAACATGCGCCCACCGTTATCTGCGAACCTCTATGAGACCATACTCAGTCATTACGTGGAGCACAACCGGCCCAAGTTCAGCGAGCTGGTCGACGAGTGGCCGTTCGACCTCTTCGACGCGAACAACGTCGCGACAGCGGTGGAGGAGCAACTCAGCGAGTTGACCACGGAGACGGATGATTGGCGGATCTTGTCCAAGTGTCTGGCCAAGTTGTACCTCGCGGGCGGCCACTACGGCGAGGCGCTCCATTGCTACATCCGCCTCCAAGACGCCGACACGGCGATGGCTCTGATCCGGGACCACCGTCTACTCGACACCTTGACGGACGACATTCCCGCGTTCATCCTCATCCGAGTCTCCAAAGAGCAGCTGAAGTCGGCCCCCATGTCCGAGCTCGAGGAGCTCACGGCAGAGCCGATCAAGCTACTAGTGAGCGAAGCGTACACTGGCATCGTCCGGCCGGATCTCGTCGTCGAGCAACTCCAAGCCGCCAACCGGCTTCTCTACCTCTACCTCTACCTCCGAGCCCTCTGGCGCGGCGAATCCCTGCCCCACGGCGTCGCCAGACCGCGGCGGGGCCATTTCGCACACATCCGCGACGCCGCCAGCAAGCTCGCGGCGGATGAAGGCAAGGCGCTCGTGGACAACTTCGCGGACATGGCCGTCGAGCTGTTCGCCGACTACGACCGGCCGTTGCTCATGGAGTTCCTGCAGACCAGCACGGCGTACGCCTTCGACCTGGCGGTCAACATCTGCGAGACGCGCCACTTCACGCCCGAGCTCATCTACCTACTCTCGAAGACGGGCCAGACGAAACGCGCGCTGAACCTCATCCTCGCCGACCTCGAGGACGTCTCGCAGGCCATCCAGTTCGCCAAGGCCCAGAACGAGCCCGACCTCTGGGAGGACCTCCTCGACTACTCGATGGACAAGCCGCGCTTCATCCACGGCCTCCTCGTCGAGGCCGGCACCGCCATCGACCCCATCAAGCTCGTCCGCCGCATCCCGAGCGGCCTCGAGATCGAGGGGCTCCGCGACGGCCTCACCCGCATGATCCGCGAGCACGACCTCCAGGCCAGCATCAGCCAGGGCGCCGCCAAGGTCCTCCAGAGCGAGGTCGCCGTCGGCATGGACACCCTGCGCCGCGGCCAGCGCCGGGGCATCAAATTCAACATCATTGAGGAGGAAGGCTCCAAGCGGCCCGTCACCGCCGGCACGATAGGAACCACCGTCTCTGCTGCTGTTGCCACCGCGGCCGCCACCAGCGACACCGTCACTGAAAAATCCACCAACACCACCATCCCAGCAACAGCAGCAGCAGCAGCAGCAGGACCCACACAGTCATCAGCTTCTTCCATATCTTCCTCTACCGCCTCCCCAGCCGGTTGTTGCGCAGGGTGTAGTCGCCCCTTCCGCGCTAATGGTACATACCCCTACCAACCCCTTGTACCTACCTTGTACCTAAAAGTTCCCATCAAACATACCCTCCCTCTCCATTGACCCCACTACCAAGCACCAAGCCTCCCTCCCGAGGAATAGAAACAAATGAAGGGGAAACAAACCAACACAGAATGCTAACGTCTCATCATGTCAAACAGAAAAAGAAATCCTCGTCGGTTTCGCCTGCGGCCACGTCTTCCACCTTTCGCACATCCACCAGACCGCCTCGCCGTCCACGAACAACAGTAGTCCGACCACCCCCTACAGCCGGTCGGCGGTGCACACGCCGCGGCCGTTCTCACCGTCGCGCACCATCACCCTCGAGGACATTTCGACGGCGACCTCGAGGACGGTCGGCCCCAAGGTGACGACCGCGCGGTTGCTGCGCGACCGGGTCGGTGAGGGCTGTCGCATATGTACGCTGGCCAAGGAGCTGGATGCCATCGGGGATTCGGACCCGTAGGCGTAGAGGCAGGCAGGTAGGTAGGCTGTCTTAGTCTCGTGCATGAGGGATAAACCCCTCCTGAATGAGGGGTCGGTGAGGTTTCTCGACTCGAGTATGCCGTTTGGCTCGGATTGGCTTCAGGTGGGGGCGAGTGGCTACTGAGACAACGATCCTGACGTCAAGCAAGTGTCTGCAGCTTCACAGCTGCACACTGCTAACGCCATACAGCTACTTGAACGGAGGGGTAGCCATGATCGAGGTGGTATTGGTCGAGTACGTCAACTCATCAGTATGGTTTCTAAGAGACGACACGCCTAGGCCATGTATGTTTATTATTTAGGAGATACCCATGGTAGCAAGCAATTACTGTGCGAGCAACGTCCAGGACTGACGACTTTTTTCTCAAATTAAATTAGGCGGCGACGAACCGCTTCAACTAGCAAGTAACAGCAGAAATAATCCTGGGAGCGACAAACGTTACGCCTTGCGTCCCGACATGAGACAAATAAAGAGAAAATAGAAGCACAAGATGTCCGACAGCAAGGGGGAATCAGGCTCAGTCACACGGGGTGTCCGTGCCCGAGTCCCCCAGCGTATGAGCCGCTGATGAAATAGCACTAGAGCATCGAAAGGACCCCTTAGATACTCAAGAAGATAACGAAAGTTGCTGCGAAGGCCAGAAGAGCAGCACGCAGGCCACCATTACCGGCAGCCTCGCTCGAAGGTGGCGCGGTGGTGTGAGTTCCACTGGCGGCCGAGGAGGTACCGTGGGTGGTGGTCAGAGTGGTAACAGAGTGGGTGACGTCCTGCACACTAGACGAGACAGGGGAAGCCGAGTGAGAGGTGTTGCTGGGCAGACTTCCAGTCTCCTTGGTGTTTGAGGTTGTGCTAGGAGCTGCCTCGGTCTTGGAAGTCACGGGGGGCTGCGCAGAAGTCTGTCCAGTAGTGCCAGGCACCGAGGTAGGAGAAACTCCCTCGGGCTTCGAAGTCACAGGAGGCTGCACCACAGTACCAGGCACAGTAGTAGGAGGAGCGGGAGGAACACTCTGGGTCTCCGAGTGACTCGAAGCCTGACTAGTGGGGTTGGCAGGAGGGAGCCCGGTGGTGCCCGTCGCGGGTGGATTCGCGGGACCAGTAGTGGAGATCACCGAGGTCGTAGTCTCACAGATGGTCTTGACGATGGTCACTATGAGAAGGACGGGAGTTAGAATCTATGCTGAAGGCTTTGGACGAACGAGTCCGGAAAACATACCGTCGCGGGGATCGTGCTCATGCATGGCTGCGGGGGTAGAATGGTCAGAACAGCTGACTTCAGGCTTCTTTCTGAGAGTGTTAACTTACCAAGAGGAATGGCAATGAAGGACTCATCGTCATGCACTGTTCCAACGGCACCGAAGGTTTCTGACAGAGTGTCAGCTAAAACCGTTGATGAAGGTGGTCAGAGGGCACTTACCGGAAGCCAGAGTCAGGGTCGCGAGGAACCAGATGGTCAACAAGACCGCAAACTTGAAAGGTGCGAACATTTTGATAAAAAGGGAAGTTTAGGGTTGAGGGAAGGATGAAGTCAACGAGCGAGGTGATCTAGATTCAAGCCTGGAGGCTGAGATAGACTGGAACGAGTGTGGATGGAGGTAGCGAGCGTGAGAGGTGATGGGACGGGGGGTGGGCGGGAGGAAAGAAGAGATAGACGATGAAGAGAACAGAGAAAGGAAAAAAAACGAGGAAGGAGAGGAAGAGAGAAGATAAACCACAGCAGCAAGTCAGGTGTCGCAGTGAATGTGCGTGTGTGTGTTATCGTGGTGATCTCAATTAGGAAAGGGGCACCAAGCACCTGCTCAGTGAGTATCACAAAGAGAGGGAGGCGACCAATGGCCAGCCAGCAGTACGAGACATGCCTTCATCCACTCCAAGACACGCAGCCAATGTTGGTTCTGGCTGGAGGAGAGCGCAAGAAACATCTGTAGACGGTGTGGCCTGTTGACTGAAACCGCATCAGAATGTATAGATGTACGGGATGACTGCGGTCTCTACAGTGCATTCAGCGCTTTGCACTGAGAAACAGTACTTGCAGCATTTACCAGCAGGTAGTGATTGTGCATGCAATCCAGAGATAATTATAGAATGAGCACTTGCAGATGTCAAATGCACTGTCAGTGCACTGTCAGTGCACATGCAGGTGGTCTCCACGATAGGTCAAAAGTACTGTGCTTTACTTTAGGTCCATAGCTCTACGCTTTACTCTCTGCTTATACTATTCACTTCTCGGTAATACAAGTCACTGGATGAAACCTAAGTTATACCTCTATTCTAAGGGTACTTCTCCATTTGATCGGAAAGAATAAGCTTAACAGCAGCCGAGCTCCACGGCAGCTAAGCTCAAACTGGTCAAAGAACCCTGCCACTTGCACTATACGAGGAACCACCAGGCACTGCCGAACAGAAGAACCAACAGTACCCAACGGTACGTTAGCGGTGGCTGGTGAGTCTGGCTCATCCTGTCTTCCCCTCTGCTCGGATTATTCTGGCAACGTGCCCCCCCCCCCCTGTGGCTCAGGCCAAGCTACTCGGAGCAATCGGCAAGAAACCTACCAGTTCTCCCGATTACTCGTCATCTTGTCCACAGGTTTCGTACCTTTTCGTACCCTTCGTCCCTTCCCCTCCTTACCGTCGCCGCTAATCCCCACTGTTTATGACAGCTATGACATGACAATATGCAGCCATCTCCGTCTCATGCTACCCGGAAAGCTTTTCCTTAGCGAATAGCTGGTCGGTTCTCAACGAGGTTTCAAGCTAGTCTCGTATCACAAAGAAACGGAGAGCCTGGATCGGTCTAGAATGTCCAGCTGCTCGAGCTGGGCTGGGTATCAGCTCTGGCGGCTGGATGCATGGGGCTGATTGTCGGCACCGCTCCCATCACCCTGAGGTCCAACCGATCTGCCTTCTTTGTTCCGGCCGCAGGAATGTGAGTGCTATACGCCTCGATCGATAATCTCACCAGAGGAACAACATTTCATGGTTCTGTCGGCCTTTCTGAAGGCGGGTGGTTTCCGAAGAAAGGGTATGCATCAACCCGCCGCCACGCAGCAAAATGCTCACCTTTCGGAGCTCCCCCCGACGCTTGAAGCTATTCCGAGTGACAGACCTTTGCAGTAACGGGGGCGACCCACTCTTATACAGACACCATCGTTCCTCTCTTCACCCCCTACCCTTATGACCAGTGACCTCGGATCGTTCGTCGTTGTTCTCCAAAAAACCTCCCTCTTGAACGACATATCCAATCGCTTCCGCGATAGATCAGCAACGTTAGCTGCGGAGGTTATTGCAGATAAGCTACCGTCCCCACGGCTGCAGGTGTCACTATCCCCAAGACCGATCGACCAATCAATGGACGATCGAGCAGAGATCGAGCAGAAGAGTCTGACAGTCCACGCTCTCCTGTGGCAAAACGGTCTCCTCTGCCCCCCATCCCCCCAGACGTCTCGCCACGCACGTTTAAAATCAACCTTAAAGCCTAACGAGACCTACCCTCTCCGGTACCTGCAGTCCAAACCCGCCAGGAACGTTACCACCACCTGACAAGAAAGTTACTCTGATTTCCGACGCTGTGGTTCCCGGACAACCGACCACCTCGTGTCCGATGCTTCCGATAGATTGATAACCTCCCCCCTTCGGATCTATGAGGTGCAGCCCTAGCAAAGAATAATCAACACAATCGATAGGCGCCGGCTGACTGATTGGTTCACCACGAACTAGTTGGCTAGTTGATTTTCTGTTCCCCTGTCGATTACTCCTCCCGACTGCCGAGTAGATCCTACTCCATGATCACTACCCCTACTTAGCGCGATCTTGCCTCACAACACAACACGCCTCATGACAGCAAAAGCTGCTTCATGCCTTTATTCCCAATGTCTCATTCCATGAGGAGTCGTCCCGAACCCTCAGGCATTCATTCCAGCACCACTGGGCGCCCCCGGCCAAGACAATACGAGCTGATACCAACGATACCCACCGCCCAGCGGTTCGGCGTTCGTAAGGCGTAAGCATGGTATGTAATTGGAATACCGCCAATACGCCCCTTCCTGCAGACCAAACGGCGCTAAAATTGGAGCAGAATTACCACAAGTGGAGACAAAAAAGCATCCCTCACACATCGGCACGATCCGTATGTGGAGTGGGGATCAATTTTCTCTCTCAGTCAGCGCCGAGACCCAAGCACACCAAGCCCACTCCCAGAGGAAAAAAAAAATCGGTGGGTTGCAGCACACTATGTCCGGATTTCCAAGGAACCTGACAGGAACTAGCAGAGCGAGTATGACGACATCGTACATTTCCGAGGTGCAAACGGGCCAGATCTCCTTCCCCCCTACCGAGTCTATGACGTCACTTTCAGGTCCAGCTGCCTCGCTCGCTCCTCTTGGGGGCGGGGCCTGGAATTTCCCCTTCCCTCGTCCGCTCCCATCTGTTTTATCTTTTCCCATCCCGGGACTTAGGCCCCGGGACTTAGGGAGGTGAGAAACAATTCGGAGGAGGAGCGGACAAAAGAGAGATCGGGGGAGGGGGAAGGAGGGACGTGTCAGACGGAACAAAATTATCTTTCTTTTTTGGTTTTTTTGGTTTATTGCGAATTCAATCTACGGAGTACCTTCCTTTTCTATTCTTTCTTCCCGTACAGGAGTACTACTGTACATAGCAGTAAAATCCGGATTTCTCTCAGGGAACACATTCCAATTCCAATGCACTGCTACCATTAACATCTGGATGTGGACCCAATCGTTGTATCGACAGTAGTGTGTACAGTGTACATATACATGTAACCCTAGCCCCAATAGTCCCCAAACGAACTTTTTCTTTCTGCGCGAAGATAAAACTAGAGTACAGTAAAACCAACACGGTCCGCTCAGATCCCTTTCCCCTCAAACCTCTCACACGAACCAGAAATTCAACCCCGTAAACAGAAAAAAAAGAAAGACACGATCGTCTATCCCCTCGCATCGAACCAGACGCCCCCAAGCGCAGAATTCCGAAACTAGACCTCCCTCCCCTCGATGCATTTGTTTACGAGTTACACACATACCAGTACATGAGTAAGAAAAGTGCTACTCCACGAGATCGGCATTATCGTTTCCGAGCACAGGGATTGGTGGGATGGCCCTTTCTCTTTTGGCTTGGTCTGATCCCCTCTCCCGAATGGAGGCTCGGGACTCGGTACTTACCTAGGATACAGTACGTGTCCGTCCCCGAGGAAGGGAGGAGGGGGGGGGGGTGGTAACCAGTACCATTACCAGTACCAGTACAACATTCGAGTCAACGTGTGGTACACTATGGCAAAGCCAAATTGAAACAGTGACCAATATGGTACCGAGGACGGGAAGGGGAGGTGGAGAAAGAGAACAGCCCTGGCGATGACGTCACGCCATCGACATCCTCGGCACATGGTCGGAGCAAGAGTGTCCAGTTGTCGCATAGCTAATCCCAACCCCCAACCCCTTTGGCGTCCGTTCTCAGGAATAAAAGCTAAGAAAGCCACACAATCTATATCGACAAGGACATGGCCGCAGAACCATCAGCTCCATAAGACACATCCGTTATAGACCGGGATGATCTTGAACCGATCCACCTCCTCCACCGAACTTCGATCAGGAAGGTGCATAACATACCCGCGAGCATCTCCTGGATGAACTTCTGGATCTACTCGATCAAGTCGGGAAGCTTCCCCCGATCTCCGACCTTTCTTCTCCCTCAACAACTGACAAGTAACCCAGCCAGCCAGCCAGCCAGCCCGCCCAGTCCCACAGTCCTGCTACTCGTAGTAGTCCAGATAGTCTACGAGTACTCCGTAGAGTAGATACTGATAGCCAAGAAGTCCAAGCGATACTTCAGCAAACGCAAACGCAAACGCAAACCGCAACTCTAGCGCGCCGCGTCCCCTCCCTGAGACATGCACTAAAACCGCAGAAAGTTCTCCACTCCAGGACAACGGACTCGGGACTAAAGAGTGCATCAACCAGTTAGTGGCTCCGCGAGTTTTTTTTTGTGTGTACACACCGCACCCGAAGCCCATCAACCACCGATTATTTACGGACGGGAGGCCAGTCTAGAACCTCATTTTCGACCACTCAACATGCAAAAGAAAAAGCCCTTCGGCAAGATACCTACCCAGGATTTACTGAGAAGGACAACATGCGTTGAAACTGCATGACTACTTACTGAAAGTAATTTCCCAGATGATAGTCTAGTCTAGTCCCGCAAGAGACCATCCGAAAATCAAAACGTTCGATTCCATTCGATTCCCTCCCCACCCCTCAATTTCAGCCTTACCGACCAGCTTGACTCCAAGGTTCAAAGCCATAAAACTAAGAAACTAAGATTTACTTCTGCTGAGAAGGTCCACACTCCCCCGTTTCAACTCGGTATACAGCCTCAAATCCTGTCTTCCGATTGACGGATCTGTGTTTCGATGGGTTTTTATTTACGGTACTCCGTACCTTATCTCTTATACTTCTTCTCGGTTAAGTTTGTCCCCTCCCCCCATCCCGAATCATTCCCCAACGGCCACTAAGTTAGTCGACTAGTCGAGTGACCCTGAGGCCTAAGTAGGTACTGTACAGTGTACACCTACGTACTGTGAGTGGTTTCATGAGAATGGATGAGTCTAGATTCGGTCTTGTGCTGGATGTACATACACATACATACATACATACCCAAAGCCACACACGCACCAACCCCCTAGCAAGACAAAGAGAGAGAGGGGAGTGAAGACGAGAGACTAAAGCACAACCCCCTAGCCCAAATTAACCAACCAACCTACCTACCTACCTACCTCTAGTCACTTAGGTAGCCACCTCCAATCCCTAACTTCACCCCCCTCTCCCCGGGTCAATCCGCATAAACCATACCCAAGCCTCATAAAGCACATCGAAAACACCCCGAAAGTCTATAGATCACCCGTCTCTGCCCTGCCCTCCCACCGATCCGATCCGATCCCCAGAAACAACCCCTCACACACACACACACACACACAAAAGTAAGAATCCAAACCGTGACGACCTCAAAAATCCCCTCCTCGACAACGTACCCTCCCCCCCGTTCTTGCAGTACTATACGTAGTTACGCACCCAAGTCGATAAAGATAGGTACCAACCCCAGAGAAAGAAAAGCGCCAACACGTACAGAAACTTGACGTACAGTCAGTAGGCTAAGGCTAAGGCTAAGGGCAAAGTCTATAACTCATCCATCGGTAAATAGCCGAGAGAACCCCCGAAGTATACAACAACCCCAACCAGCCCCAATGCAAAAGAAACGCATCGAACCATTCAGACACAACAACAACAACAGACCGACGGAGTCAAGAGCATAGCGATAGCGATAGCGATAGTGGGGGGGAGGGGGGGAAGGGCGAGAAAGAAGTGCAGGCCCGTCCACATTCCCTCTAGCGAGAAAAGGGAATGTGAGTGTTGCAGTTTCCAAGTTTTTTCTTGAAGAAAGACTTTTGCCGGGTTTGTATGGAGTATGGAGTATCACAACTTGACCTACCTCCCAGACACAAATTCTCGATCTCAACTAACTCCTTGTTGGGAGGCATTCGGGGCCGACATTCCGATCAACACAAAACCAAACAGAAACAAAAGTGCCCCGGGTGGCCAAGCCGGCAAATCCCCAGCCCCCGTTGGGAAGCAAAAAGTTGAAGTTTTGATCGGGGTTTTGTCGTGAGGTTCACGATTTAGGTTAAACGTCCCCAGTTTCCCACGCTATCAGAACCGACCGGGTGATGGTCCGATGGGAAGGAAGGTAAAGAGCCCCATATCCCACATCACACGGGGGAGGGGGGAACAGGAAGGGGAGGATGGGGCTATGATGTCATCGGGCTGTCGCTGTCGCATGTTGTCGAAAAACTATCAGATGGAGTCTAGAATCTGGAAACTACATTACACTATGCACGGTAATATTACCCTAAGACAAAGGAGGCGCCCGCCATGTCAGTAGACTGGCTCCTCCGGTAATATCAATCTATACCCGAATTAGAAAAGTTTAACCCGACGTTCCCCTCTGATCTCCCGACTGGTCGTTGGCCTGGAGGCCCGGTATTCCTCCCATCGGCTTTTTGGGCTTTCGATCCCGATGGCTCCAAATTGTTTGGTGCTTGCAAAATGGAATCACCTAGAAAAGAAGGACGGTGGAGATCCGTCCGTTCCGAGCATTCGGTCCCATGTATAGTATTTTATTTATTTTCTTTCTCTGGCATATATGATGATACCCTGTCTAGCAAACAGGAGCACGCAAGTCAAGAAAAAACAGGGGGGGACAGTCTTGTAGATGATAATGATAATACGAGAACCATCATCCCAGGAGTAAAACACCCCTCAAAGTCAAGGCGTCAAAGTCGAAACCAATCAGACAGCTGTTTTCATCTACCAGAAAACAGCAGGAGTGGAGATAACACACAGAGGAATTGATCAACCATTAAAACAGTTAAAATACTTCCGACAAAAATGGACAGGGTATCTATTCGTATTCCTCATACCTCAACCACATCTTCGAAAAAAGGCAAGCCAACCAATCTCAACCAGAGGAAATGCGAGGTCGTGTATTCCCAAAATGAAAAACAAACCCAGAAGACGTTGTCGGAGAAATGACATATTTAGGATATCATAAAAACCATATAGCACAGAGTCGCGACAAAACAATTCAAGATGCAGAAGATGCCTGGGTATCATTGCTAGGGAACTCGTGTATTATTCCCTGATACAACGCCCCCCACCCTCCACCTTGGAGGGTAGTATGAATGACGAGTAAGTTAAAGACAGCCCCCGAACTCCGATGAAGTCAAGAAAAATGGCAAAAGTATATCACTCAAGGGTGAATGCAATGTACCTTTTCATCACGCACCAGGCGCCCTTAAAAGGGAGAAAATGGAAATGAAGTCAAAAGACCACCTCAAGAACGCATTGATGCAATTCAAGGGTGGAGAAAGGAAAACTGAAGCTGAAAGACGAGGTTTTACGTGCATGAGGTTTTTGAGAGGCTCGTGAATGTCTCCATCAACTTAAGACATATTAATAGCTCAACTTGACTTCAACGCTCTTAGCGCTTTCGGCGCCTGCTGCGGCCGCACTCTCGAAGGTGGACGTCTCGGAGATCTCGACAACCATGTCCTGGCCATCGGGCAGTTCACGGACGACATCGTCGTCGACCATGATCTTAAGACCATTTTGCTTGACATGGAGCACCCGCACGATCCGCCGTGGATCGATCCGCTGTTTCATCGATATCTTCTCCATGAGGTCTCGCACAGTGCGTTCCGTCAGGTAGACAGCCCGGTAGTAATCATCCTGAGGCTGATCATTCCGCGGAAATCGGACGTAAAAGCATGCGACTGGTTTTCCAGGTTAGCATCGTGGCCCAGTACGGAACATATTTTGCGGAACTTACTTGGTTTCACGGGCCGCTCGGTTGGGGGCCTGTAGGTTGGATCGATGTCGACTGCTTCAATATACCCCACAGGAACGTGGTTATCATTACCGGCGACCTTCTGAACTTTGACCGGATGCTTCAACAGGACCTTGTCACCCATGGCTTCTGAGCAAGGGCGCGAATTTTCGCGGGAGTTGTTAATGGAGCCATGATATCCTGAGTCGTAGTAGAGGTTGGACTGCGAGTTCGGCGGGTGGCAGGGTGAGTTTAGTGAGACGCTGCTGCTGGTGGGCGATACGGCATGCAGAGACGCTCCATCGACACTGAACCGAGAGCTGCGGCTGTTCTCTCTCTTGATGAATTCGCGCGACTCCGGCAAAGCAACCGGGAATAGATCCGGATCATCCTCTTCCTCTCCCCGCAGTCCTAAAATGCTCACTGGCCGGGTCGAAGTGAACATGTCCTGCATAAGTGCGAGTTTCGCATGCAAATCATCTTCCAATGACATCTTGCCGGGTCCATCCTGTGAGCTCATGGACCATGTCCGTTTGTGTTTTGTGATTTTGGCAGGACGGGGGTCGCCGCCCTTGAGCGCGACTGAGCCGCTGCTACGCTTCCGCTTGCCATAGTTTCCAGCTCCTAACTCGGCCTGGGTAATCTGCTGTCGAAGCTTGTCGATCGTTTTCTTGACATGGGCGACGTCATTGGACAACTTTCGCTCGGCTCCATGGTCGCGGAAGAGTTTCACTTTGCAATAGCATACTTCTGGCTCCTTGGCTGAGCCGGCCGCTACTTCATCCGGCGAAAGCATCTCGGTTTTCGCGCACAATCTGACCGGAATACCCTTCACGCCTTTGGAATGACTGAAATCTGTCGACAGGAAGTTGAAGCGGACGGAAATGGCGCAGTCCGAGATTCCGGTCGTCGGATTCGCAGTCCAAGTCACGCAGAACCCGTCGAACGATGCACTTTCGATCTGAATCTGACGGTTCTTCGGGTCTTCCACGCCTCCTTGAGTCGGATCAACGTACTCAACCGCCTGCAGCTTGCCACCGCGTTGATGCGCCTCATTGGAACCTCGTCCTTCCTTCCACAGTTGCCAGCAAGCTCCTGGCTTAGCTCGTTGCTCTTCTTCTTGGAATGACACACGGATGTAGGTCCGATATTTCAACGGTTGCCCGGTCATCGGTGGCGGCGTCGAATCGACAACAGAGATTGAGTATGCTTGGCCCTTGTTAAGATATGTGACGGGTATCTCGGCTTGGTGGTTGATCATAGCCGTTGGAGCACGCAAAGTGACATGATAGCGGAAACTGCGCCGATTAGATCTAACGTCTCGCCCAATGGGAGGGTTCTAGCTTACCTCTCGCCGGAGTTGTGGATGCTGAGCTGGTCGTCTTGAATCACCGACGGGACGAATTGCGTGGTAGCATTACCATGCATATCCACATCGTTTAGAGACATCCCGTCAACAGATTCGTCCATGGCATCATAACCTGTATCGGTTGGAACAAATGCACCAGGTGCAAAGGTCGCCGGTTGAGCAAATGGTTGTGGATTATGAAAGTGGGATGGGAGAAAATGCGGGTTGAAGTGTTCGAGACCCATGGTTGAAGGATCGGCGTTGATGGTGGTTGCAGACAGCTGCTGGGGAAGTGACAGGGGGGTAATCATGCTTAAACCCATGCCAGGGGTATGCAAGTCTCCCGCCTGGCTGTGATACACAGCTCCCAATCCCCCAGAGTTCGGCGTATAGTACCCATGGGGGTTCATCGGGTTGATATATGATACTGCATTAGGGTCGACATATGATTGTGCGAAGCGCATGTCGTGTGTAGCTCGCGGTGTGATATCGTTGGGCTTCAGATCACCGTCCATACTCAATCTGTAATCAATTTGTTGGGTTAGCTTGTTTTCTGGTGACGCGTTCTCATGAACCGATGGGCAATGGAATCCCAGCGGGAGATGCTGAATCTTCGTGAGCGAGGGACAGTGTATTCACCTAGCGGGAGTAATCGGTCCAACGGGGACCTGACCGAAACGCGCGGCATTGCGGCTGGTGACTGGAGGAACAACGTCCTGGAAAGTCTTCTGGAATCTCGTGATGAGTTCGTCATCGGGCTTCTGGGAGTTCTTTCTGTTTGGTTGTATTTATTGGTAAGCATGAGCACAACTCGCAGCCCGAAAGGCGCACCATCCACGTTCAATAATCCGCGCCGACATACCTGTTGCGAAACATCATCAAGCGGTTCAGCGCAATCAAGGCCTTTCGATTATAGCCTGGGTTTTTAAAATGTCAAGCTGCTCTCTGGGGTGTTTGAATCTTGGTCCTCGTGTCTCTGTTTGTATGTTGCCCGGTAAATTAATCGAGAATATGGAATTCAAGGGGAAAAATCGAGGCGGTCGTAGATTGAGGTGGCATTCGGATCAGAAAGCGACTATCAGTCCGGCGCCGTGGTGGTATTATCAGGAGACAATGGTAAGTTTGTCCCGATAAACTTAAGCCAGAATAGTGGCTAGACAAAGTGTTTGGGTGGATTTGTGGTTGGCAAAAGTCCGACTTCTAAGGTATCACATCACAATTCACGGGTCGCAAGTGTGGAATGATTGACTGCAATCCCGAAGACTACCACGGACAAGAGGGGGAAAGAGATAATTGTTTTGAGATCGGACGGACGGGCAAGACTGGGGAGGGGAGGAGGAGGGGGTGGTTTGATTTGATTTGGTCTGATTTGGTTTGGTTTGGTTTGGTTTGGGTCGCGAAGAGCGGAGAACAGTTCTGAGGGGGGAAAGTCCGAGTGTTGCTGAAGAGAAGCGGAACCCGGAAGGTATCGGATTTATAGCTGAACAGACTCCTTACTCAGATAAGTCAAGTCATATGAGGACAGGCACCGAACGTTGTCAGAGGGGAAGGTTTTTCGAGAAGAGCAGGCGAAGGATACGTATGCTGGAAGCAACTGTACAAATGGTGGTGGAAATAGTTGGAGTGTGGGTGTGGGTGGGAGTAGGAGGGAGAGAGGGAGAAAGTGTGTGTGAGAAAGAAAGAGAAAGAGAGAAGCCCAAGGGAGGGGAGGGGGAGACACGAAAAGGCAATGGTAGTGAGTGTAAGTAGGAGGGGAGGTAATGTACTCCGTAGTAAATAAGTACTACTAAGTATGGAGTAGGAGGACTCTGAGAGAGAGAGAGAGAGAGAGAGAAGAGGATTGAAGAGGGTAGAGCGCTTGGGACCAAACGGTAAGACGAAGCTCCCCCAGTTAGAATTGATATACTAGGGTAGGGTGGATATGGATGGTGCGAGGGTAAGGATCTGAAGGACTTTGACTAAGTCCAACAACCGTCCAAAGAGATCAAGAAGACTTTTTGAACTCGGAGGATTTGTGGAAAGAATGTGATAGTAATTAATAAAAGAAGAGAAAGGGGCCACATGGGAAAAAAGACGTGGTGACGTGCAATAATAACGGTTGGTTGAGTGATAAAAAATATTATTCTGAAATGCAGTTTGAGAAAATTAGAAGTAGAAGAATAATAATAATAATAATAATAATAATAATAATAATAACAATAATAATAATACTTTTCATAAATAAATATCCATAAAGGTGAAAAGGTATGGAGACAAAACCTTCCAGAAACTTATTTTGCCCACTCGTCCCTTTCACCACCGATCTCGTCTGGAGTTCTTTTCCTCGCTGATGTGCGCGTCCTTTGCGGTGTTCTTTTTCTCTCTCTTACTCTTTACCGTTCCATACAATTTTTTATTAGATAAATGGGTTTTCTAGGATTGGTTTTCAAACAGAGGAAGACCCAGGAATCAGTGGGGATGTTGTGAGGGGTGGGAGTGGACCCGGTCTGGTAATTGGGTAATTTCCGGTGGTATTACCAAGGTACAGTACCTGGGCTGGGTAACGCCCGAAGCTCCTGTTATTTTACCAGTACTGTATCATACCGGATGCACTCGCTGTCAGCCAGATAGATGGGAGAGGTATAGGTATATGTCCATGGTTAATACTACGTTTGAGAAGTAGGTAGGTAGCAGATTAGAAAGTCTATTCAGATCTTGTACCTCTCCCTCGGGTCTCGATATCTATATCTCAAAAGGGAAACAGGAAGTGGGATAACAGCAGTAACAGTACCCGCAACAAGAAGACAAGCAGATTCCAGCTGCGAGGCAGTTTTCTACTACCCCGATGAGAAGAGACTTCCGAACATCCGTATATCCATTAGTTGTTTATTTAGTGCTAAGGCACTGACAACTGCCAAATCAAGCATAAACTACTATAGTCAGATCCTTCCATGACGAGCACTTGTCGGGCTTGTCTCTGGCGTGCATAGCAGTGTGTCCCACTGACCACTGTCCACTGTTCAGGTTGGTGCCCGCCCTTTGTCTCTGCGCCTATCGCTTCAATACCGTGTTCAGTCTACTATACGGCAGAACTATACCAGATTTGTGGAGTGCCATTCGGCCCATTCCCCTTCCAATCTCCCGATTTCTTCAAGCACTGGAAGATAGGTGATCTACGTCATTCCCGAAAGCCCCAAGGGCTGGAGCCATTGCGATTCGTGATACTGCGGGCGGTCGAAAGTCGGCGTTAACTGACTTCCTTTATACCCTAAGTTGCACCGAGATTTGCTCTTCCCTGAGACCCTATCTGCGCAGCCCGGTTCAGCCACGATCTCTAGCTTGATCTTCAAAGGCGCGCGGTGAGCCAGGTATCTGTACAGGCGGAGAGTGATGTACACATTGAGGGTATAGTTATTCGGTGTGAGCAGGTTGCTGAGCACAATCTAACTTCGAAATCAAAGAAATCGAAAAGAAAAAAAAAGGTCTACGACCCCTACCAACGACCTCGGGATCTAAAGTAGCTAGCTGCCACATGCCCCAGCGCATGGTACAAAGTAAGTAACTGCCGTTAGTGGTAGCAGTCGTGGATATTCGAGTCTCTTGGTAGTACACATTCAAGGTTATTGGCGGTACCAAACCTACTCCAGCAACCATAAAGTTAAGTCTCTTCCGGTGGACTTCCGTGCATACTACTTATTCATAAGGCAATGGAGCTTGTATGGAGTCTCAAAGCCATGGAACATACCGGCAGGACCACGTTGACCCGAAGCGCTTTCAATGTGGCCGGAAAGCGATAGAATACCAAAGAGATTTGGGGGATCGCGTTCGGTGCAGCATGCCCGTTCCAATTCTATCCCAGGTCGGGATCAGGGCCAGGAAAACCCCAGTCAGTGGACACCCTCCGTCTAAGCAACCTCACGACCGTCCCGAGACTCGAGAGAAAGAGATATCTAGAAACATCTTTATTCTCCTACTGCTTGCTCCCAATGCCCCTCCTCCTCCACCCGCGAAGGACCCCATTTCCAGCCTCCGTTCTTGCCCGTTACAGTGGGGACCGGAGCCAACAACTCAATTGAGAGTCGAAAACAGAGCGAAAAGCCGAGCTACTGCCTAAGTAGGCAGGTATACGGTCCAGCCTGGAGACTGACTGACCTCTTGAAAAGCTAAGTATGGATCTTCAATCATAATCTTAAAAACGGCCGTGGGCCAGATGATACGAGCGCGCGACTCAGGTCAAAATAGAAGAGGGAAAAAAAAGTTCGAGGCGTTCCACTGCACATCGGTTTCCGATCAATCGATGATAGAACATCAAAGCGGAGACACCTAAGCTATGATCGGTCTCACAATCTGCATCCACTATCAGCCTAATGACTCGTGGAGAGAGTCCCGACGCTGCGAGGGATGAGCAGGTTTGTCTAAAAGAGCCGTAGTAAGACAGAGAGGGGAACAGCATCGCGTTATTGGTTGGCAATGCAGACGACTCGAGTGGAGGAAACCTATGAGTTCCGTCTAGAGAGTAGTAGTAGGTAAGGCAGGGTGGATAAACACCCCCAAGTGTAAGGTTTGTCTTGATCAAGTGAAACGTCCGACCTCGCCTAGGATGGAGAGTGATGGAGTCGGATCTGGACCGGGAGCTTATTCTGTCGTGCACGGGGTCAAGCATTGAACCATATTCTAATTAAACCGTATCCAACGGAGAGATGATGGCTATGACACAATGCTTCGACCCTAGAAGCACGGACATATGGTGGTGCTATATTTCCCTACGTTGCCTGTTTTTCTGCAGCTAACCTTTTTTTTTCTGTTCCTCAATTGCTATTTCCTTCTTCTCAAGCATGCTGCAACTCAAACCCAAGTCTGCATGCCCTCCTGACTCTACATTAACGCAAAACATTGATAATCCACCACCCTTTCCTCCCTCACGGGGTCGATTTTCTGACACTGTAACAAACTGTGTACGGCATCGGGAGTGGATTGTATGGGAATTGTAAGTGCGTTTAGGCGTTCTAACGGTCTGGATTGCTTGGAGTCAGTACCCGCCAATCAGAGACCTGAGAAAGAGCGCTTCCGGTCACATCGGACGGATCTCCCCAGAAGCTTATTACATGAGAGATTGTGTATTGTGATAGCGAAGGTGTATTGAGAATGACAGTACGTGGAGGTATTTAGTGAGGTATAGTAAGTTAGTACGAGGTAGGTACTCACTAGTTGACTAGGACGGTAGCCGGTACTTCGACAGTTAGTAAACCAGACCGAGCTGGGTTAGTCCCCGCAGTCATACTTTTTTTGAGTGCGATGGGTTAGATAGAGCATGTACGAAAGGTCCGACACCCGTACCTAGACGGGCGGGTGCCCGTGGATGGATCGGACCCATGGAAGACAGTCCACAGTCCACGGTACTTCGAACTGTGTCCGTCCTCTAGGCGAGGCAGGCAACATTACGTCATTTGTCTGTGCTTGCGTGCCGCACCCGCCCTTTCGTGTCGCTCTCTCTAGATCTGGGTACTAAGGCCGAAGCATCAGAGTGGTTCGTTGGCGTTCCAGCTGACAAGTTTGACGGAAGGATTAAGGGGAATGGGAAGAGGAAATGATATTCGGACGGACCCATGAAGTGTATTGCTTAGTGAGATCAAATCTATTGAACAAGTGATCTAATTTGTTGGACTTTTGATCCGATTCAAGGGGAGCGATTGACTGACCCGGTCGGCCAGGCCATTCATGGCCTATCAAGGCCAGGTCTCCGCTGAGGGCGGGAGAGCCCCGGATCAGTTACATCATAGGTAGCCTTCATATTTATGAGGTGAGCTCCTAGCCTACTGAAGTAGCTACTTGGTAGAACGGCAAATAGTTCCCGTAGCCGAGTACATACTTAGTACATACCTTCTACTGAGTACATAGCCCTAAGTGGAGTATCACCTACATATCTGTATGTAGTTAGACTCTCTCAGACTATCGCCCCCTCGGAATTGTAATGCCTATGGCATATGAAAGGGGTGAAATTAGCTGATCCACTATCTGGAGCATGACGTTCAGCCCAAGTATTGTCATCTTATTACCTGACAATCATACACTCGGATCATATACGTAGGGAAGGGGTGAGGCGGGATCGCATCATATTACAGCCATGATCGACTGCTAGGACCTACACTCTTGCTATTGTAGTGATGTATGTAGACAACTCATTGGATTATGCGCCTTTGCACGGAAACTCTTCGCGGTGGGAATGCAAGTCTTCCTTGGAAGAGCCGATGGCCGCTGTGATATATATGTTTACCCCGACCGGCAAAGCGAAGCGACAATCAGATTAACCCGCACACCATACAGATATATACCACATAAACCGGCATCAGCAAAGCAAGTGAGCGCGCAGAGAGCCTCACTTACTGCGTCCAGTGCGACAGGCAACTGGAAATGCTCTCGACAGTTCCCCCAAGGCACCACTGGGATAGGTATACGTATACGGCATGTTCGATACCTTGGAAAAGGAGCAGAGGTAGCAGTAAGGTATATGTCTGACCCATACACACAAGGTTAGAGGTTTGGTTGCTACTGGCTGCTAGCCCTACCGGAAATCTCCCTCACACTCACACTTCATCCGTCGAGGTGCAGTTCGGGGAGGCTTGGCCGGAATCGGCATGTGTATGTCCGATGAAAGATATCCCATGGGGAGAAGGAGATCATAGTTTTGACCTGGAGGGGTGTAGTGCGCCGCACTTTATCGTGGTAGGTACAGTACTTGTACATAGAGTACCTTAACCACTACATTAGTAGTATGTATGTACGGTATGTACGGAATACTAAAGGTACAGATCTCGAGTGAGACAGGAACGGAAATCTAAGAGGGAAAGAGAGAACTGGAAGACAAACGGTTCGGTTCTCCCACACCACACGACATCCACATCCACACCCACCCGCTAGTCCTTGCCTGCAGTCACAGCTGTGCCACTAACAGAGAGTACCATGTCCACCCACACGCACACATTTCCACAGCCCACACACCTATTGGACTGGGGACCATCTACTCCGTACTCATATTAAGCATGTATTCGATGACATCACCTTCAGCCCAAGCTAGCCATTACTTAATATAGGAGTACTAACCCACTGGAAGGCGAACAACGATTCCGGCGCACCGGGTTGCGCGCAAAGGGTCCATCCCATTCGCTGAACAAAGAGCCGTATGGAATTCCATTCTCCGTAGGATATTTTAAATGGGGTATGACAAGTGAATCATACCTCTTCTCTGTCGAGCAATGATCAGATCCAGATCCCGACCCGGTGGTCTTCTCCCAAAATGGCTAGCCAAACTCATTTCGAAGAGTTATCGCTTTGCAACCCGCATATATTATCCGGGTCCAAACAACATACGTCCGTGGCCCGAAAACTACTACTACTTCCGTACAGTAAACGTAGACAGAATGTGTGTTCAACCCATCCACAATCATAGACAAAAAGGTGGTATCTGATGAAGAGGAGAGGGAAGATTGCTTTTTTACTGACCGCACCGAAAAAGAAAAGAGAAAAAGAAAAGAACAGAAAACTGCTAGCACAGTGCTAGGGGAATTGGATGGAACAAAATGGTACCTTTTTACGGTAATCCATTTTTTTGTTGCCTCCGTTCTCGAAAGCTACTGAACCGACTCGAGCAATTGATAATAATCATACGTTCTCGCTCAGGTAGGCAAGTAAGCCTGCCCTGAGCTAGATAGACAAGTTGTCCACTCAATCTGGAAGCACCCTCGCCACCCCCGGTCGCGCATCCCAATGAGGAATCGAAAGAATATTAAGTAAACTGACTAGCTTACCACTGACAAAGTGCCGGTAGTTAAACAACCGGTTCATCTCCCGCTGCAGCGGACCCCGGGGAGGGGGGAAGACGCGGTTGCTATGAGGCATGAGATACATTCAATCCTTTCGCACTTCGCACCTGTTCCCCTTATATCTGATGCCATTATGAATATGATCCCTCCTCCCCTTGATGAATTTCCTTCCCATGATTCGTTCAGACAAATTCGCTGCTTCTGCTGCTGCTACCTCTGAACTAAGCTAGTCATGGTTAGTCAACCATCACATACACTAATTAACTAACCACCGACTATCTCCTATGATTACCTCCAACATCCACGAATAGCCATCAACCAAAACAGTTCCGGTAGAAGGATCGAGTCTTGTGCTATCCACTCTATCCACAATGATAATGCCAAGTCCATCTTCTTCCTCGACCCGCCAATCCCAGCGCTTTTTTCATCTGCTTCTCAAAATGATCTCCAGACGCACACAGGATCGTATTTTGGAGACAATATACAGGTGCTTAGGAGTTTTACTTTTAGCTGAGCTAGTTAAGCTCTTCCATCTCTCACTGACTCGACACCATCCGACAGCACACATCTTACTGACCTGAACCCTGCGCCCGCTTTCATCCCTTCCATCGATCCCATCCGACATCTACCCATCCTAGGTCCATCCAAGGTCATCCGAGGTCCATCCATCCATCCATCCCATCTCCCCGTCCCGCTTAGCGCAACCGCATCTCTACCGCGTAAGGCTTTGACCTGTTGCCCTCGATCGAATAACAAACCATAGAAGCACTGCCCGCTTCTCTGCCGTCCGACACGGCAGAGAAGTAAAGTACAGTACAGTAAACTCGACGAGGGTTCTAAAGTCGCGTTGTCATTACTCGGCGGGGAAAAGGTCAGGTCCAGGAAAAGGAGATCGCGAGCAGGGATGACAAGCCTCATAGATGGGATGTGCCATCCCCACCTCATCACGCAAAGCCGTGTGCTCTGCACTTTTCTCCTTCAAAACAAAAATCATGAATTCCAAAGGAATGGTAATTGACTACCTTGCCCCGTTCCTCACCAAGAAACAAAAAATCGGAAAAAAGAGAAGGATGAAGCAGCCTCCTGCACTTGACGATTGAAAGTATGTACGATTACCAAAACCGGAAAACCAAAACAACCACCTCATGCGCCCTCTTCGATTATCGCTCCCCGCGCGCGCATTCAAAGAGGGGGGTCGTCTTCGTGTTACACCAAGTGTTGCGCCTTTTTTTTTCCCTTCTGCCTTCTTTGACATTTTGAAACGTTTGACATCTGACACCTTCGAAACCATAATAAAAAGCTTCTGAGAAGCGGGAGGGAAGGAAGAGGGGAATGCGATGCTTGGGGGGGGGGAAGGAGGGGAAGATAGTTACCGGGATAGCAGCTTCCAGACGAAGCAGCTGCCACAAGTCTTCCCGTTACTAACTCTGCGTACTGACAAAGAAGAGGAACATGATGAGAGACGGCGAGGAAAAAGCTCAGCTGGGGAATGAGTTAGGAAAGTCAAAATTAATCTATCTCGATCTTCTTGCCTCCCGGAGAGGAGATAGAAGACAGAAAAGAAGGGTCAAGGGCCAGCTGGGTTGGGTTGATTTGGTTTGGGTTGGCCTAAATAGGTTCTCCCGGTATCCCGGTCGCGCGCAGCCGCGTGTTAGGCGTGTATATGTGTGTGTGTGTGTGTGTGTGTCTTATCATGAGTCGTGGGAGTTTTGGGGGGGTTTGTGGACTATCATGAGTCGTGGGAGTTTTGGGGGGGTTTGTGGACTGCGTAGTGTTGTGTCAGTTAAGGTGCAGTGCGTGGTGACAGGTACGATGAAAAAGAAATGTTATGGATTGATAGGCGGGATCTACAAATTGGTGGTCGCTGCGGTTGTGGTGCTGGTGGTGGCTTGCCGCTTTGCTTCCCTCCCCGCCCCTCCTTCCTCAGGCTGAGTTACTCGTACCTAAGGTCGAAGAACGGAGATGCCTAATGCTATCTAGCTTGGCCTGGGATTCTTTGCCAGGTCCATCTAACCACCCCCCTCCCGAACACCGTTGAATATCACCAAGATGAACTCAAAAATCCGTATGGGGATAATTCCGAGGGGCGAGGGACGGGTGTGGTGGTGGTGGTGGTGGTGGTGGTGGTCGGAATTGGGACGGGAGGGGGGGGATTATCTTCGCCTCATTCGAATGAAAGTGTTGAAATCACCTGTCCTATGTAGAAGAAATGAGAGGGGCAATGCGCTGAATTCTCTTCTAAGGCGTAGGTACGTACGTATCCTCCCGCGGAGAAAAGGTCCAAGACAACAGATAGGTAAATTCTACTTACGGCGTTGTATGCTGTTGGGCGGTTTCCGCTCGTCTGTGTTGCCATTGCTTCTGGAAAGAGGTATGCTATGCGAGATTGATGAGGAGAAGGGGGGGCAATGTTCGACGGAGTATATCGAGCCATGGTTGAACAATTACGTAGAGTACTTCCGTCGAGAGTAAGAAGTTAGCAGCAGCAGCAGCAGCAGTGCTATGTAAAAACTTACACTTTGACTAACTTAGCACATGTTCATCTCTTTGACTTTTTATCAACTCCACTTGTACTTAAGTCTAAGTAAGCTACCTGTCTTGTCCCTTTGGGGCAACAGTCTTTTTTTTACGGCTTACTAACCAGCACCGAACTGCTTACTAAGAGACTCAGCCCTTCTGCATCAACTAGGCTAAACAAATCCACTATAGTTGTACAGTGCATTGATGCTCGTAGTAACTACTCGAGTACTCATAGTAGTTACACACTTTTCTCTCATCAGTGATATCATAGACGAAACCCACATTCTGCAGATCACAGATCAAACTAAATTAATACTCATGTAAGAAGTGGAAAAAATTCGAATAATCTTACTTCACACCCGAGAGACAAGAGCACAAAACCAAAAATAATTTCCACTGTGGCGTCTGATAGTAATCGAACTAGCGTTGTTGTGCCTTTTCCCCTGGGAGGGAATTATTCGGTTTTCCTTTTCCTGCTTGGCTTTTTTTCAATACTACGAGTCAATCAAATCTCTTTGTGTATTACTCAGTATCTCTCACTGCGTGTGTGTGTTTCATGCTTTTGTGGTGGGTTTCCACGACCTTGTATTTTTGTTTCTCTTGGATGTGTACGTCCCTTGCGTGGAATGGAAATGGAATTTTCTTCATGAACTACATAAACTAGATTATTATCTTCCATATCGACAGTCATATGGCACTTCAGCCAGTCCAGCCTCGCACCCACTGTCTACCATCGTCCAGCTTATCTTTCAACTGAGCCATTTGATCGGGGAGAGGAAAGATTGTGTACACATGAACAGATTACCATAGATGCAATAGACAATCAGTTATTGTCTGAAACATTGTACAGATACAGGTACATACAGTACCTTTTTCGAGAGAAAAGGGCAGAAACGGGAAGTAAAGTAATATCTGTACGGTACTATTGTTTCCTTCCTCTCCCCCCCATCTTTATTGCCCCCTCATCTCTACACACGGACGTAGCTTACCAGAGTGTCGGGTCGGGGGGTGTAGGGCTTCCCGTTTGACTCGGGTTTCCATATCTGCTCACCAGCCTGGTGCAGTTATTGTATGTCGGTGTTCGCTGTTTGTACAATGTTAGAGAAATAACCAATCCATCTATGAGCTTGTTGCATGATATTGTAGGTAGCTTTCGAAGGGTACAGTACTTGACTTTTACTTGAATGGTATCCATCCTTAGAAATCAGAATGCTGAATAACAGACATAATATCAGGTTTTTTTTTTTTTGAATAGGTTCCTCTCCAAATTATCTCATTATTCTCTTAGCAATTGAACATGTCCTGGCCCCAAAGCACTATGTGAAAATAATGGTGAGTTGTAGTTGACGCCGGCCATCACGTCAAGTTAGGTATACCTGAGTCTCATCCTACTAGTCACAACACCCAAGATTCCACCTCCTTCATCTGTACCAAGCAAGACTATCCTCCCCAAAATACCGTCAATGCAAAGATAAACGCCATTGAGACCAGCAGATTGCAACACCACCATACCCCCGATACCTCGACCCGTAAAAAGCACAAATTCATTCACGGTGACACCTCCGACCTACGAACCCTGGTACTGTACCAACAACCAGCATTGGGCCACCACAAATCTAGGTACAAAGGACTTCGCCCCCGAAGAAGGTTTATCTTGCCTGAGTGGCCGGCAGGAAAAGACCTCCGAAGGAGCTGAGATTGGACGAACCACCCCGGCAGGTACCTAACCCATAGTAGTAGCAACCTTGAATCGGTTTCGGTTCATGAAGTCATGTATACACCTCCCGCGGGAGAAAATCCTCAACAAGCCTAGGCCTTCTCTTATAGCAGTAAGTTATTGTCAAGTATCCTCATCATCACTCCTAGATCCCAATCAGGAGCTAGGGATTATGGATCCGTTCCCGCCCTCTTGTCGTTGGAACGTGGTTTACCACTACAGTATTAGCATGGCACCAACAGAATACAGTACTGGAACTCCATCTCAATGGAACTCCTAAGTAAAGTATCTTTCCCTCGACCACCCAGACACACACACACACACACACACACACAATCGGATCAAATCCTCCTCCCCTTCCTCCCCTTCCCCAAAGATCTAACTCCCATCTCATCCTCCTTCAATCCCATGGAACCATTTGAATCGGGGGTAAGGTGCTTATTTCGGAAGCGAGCCCGAAAGTCAGAAACAAAGGCCAGGCAGGTGACATTGAAGCTTCCTACTTTATCTAGTCTACTTCCCTTCCAGTCTACCTCCTGCCTCGTACAGCTACTGAGGGGAAAACCACTGGTTTGGGTTAAATAACATCAACAGCAAATAAATCCCAAGACTCCGGGGGGCCCGATTCCCATTCTTTCCTTCATGCAGCTGGCAGCTGACATCTGGGACCCGAGGGGGTGGGAGTATCGTATCCGTGGCAGTGGCAGTGGCAATGGCAGTGGTTGGAATTCCAAGATCAACGGTGAGATTGGATACGGGAAGGGGGAAAGTAAGGAAGGACCGTACTGTGTATGCATATACTCTGTGGGATAAGGAAAAGTCGACAGATGGTACTGTACCTGGCCGTTGAGCCGTTTGGTGGTGGTAGTGGTAGTAGCTGGCGATCACAAGGTCCTTACAAGGTTGCGTGTGGGTGGGTGGTGGTTTGTTTGCTTTTGAGCTAGCTGCAGCCATCCATCAGCCATCCATCGGCCATCCATCAGCCATCCATCAGCCACCCCCATTCCTTCCCAGTCATGATCCCAGGGTACAGTACCTAAGATGTACAGTAGACCATCCCGGATCCCTGCCTTCTACGAGTTCCCGGAGAAATCGCCCACCGGGCGTTCTGTGTACATGTATGTATGTACCCCATTGTCGAACCTCACATCACGCCGTCATTGTTCATCTTCAGATCCAAACAAAGCAGAGCAAAGGTAAAACAAAATCGCGCAAGAATCAACCCTATCACTTTCTCGCCACCGGCTGGCTGCTCTTCCTCTTTCAGCCTCAACCCGTGGCAAGTAGTCTCCCCCGCCATGATAGACCGTGAAATCCCACTGGAAGAAGAAAAGGGAAGGAGTTGGCCTAGCTACCTTACAGTGATAGTACTAGTAGTAGTCACGGTAGGCCTCGGGGGGGTGTGCGTAGCAAAGTCGAGTCCTCCTCATGCATGGATGGAACGAACGGAGGCTTGCATCAGTTCGAGTACAGGATACAGTACAAAGTTTATTCGTGCGAAACTCAGATTAACAGTGTGAGTCCCCGGGACGAGTCGGAATTATCTCGTGGTCGTTGAGGCTGCACACGAACCTCCCCGAGGGGTAGGTTCTTAACTGGGGGAGAGAGCGCCAATGGTTGCATAGGTAAGGTACTAGGTAAGTAAACCGGGACTGCTACTTATTTAGGTAGGCAGACTTCCTTCCTGTGATACTGTCCAGCATGTTGTGGACATCATCGAGCTAGTTCAGGTTCAAGTTATGTTCACGTTGCTGCTCTTGCTTAATGGATGATATGGAGACTATCTAGTCATTGACGCAACACATTCAATCTTACCAAGCAACAATATCAAATAGCCGAAAAATGGCAAATATGTGATTATCTATGAGCCCTCGGGCCAACGTCAATTATGTTCTCCTAACAGGTATGTCCTACTATCTATCAACACCCATGATTCTAAGTCCTGCTCTTCTCATGGGATACCTCCTCTCCGCGCACTGGCCTATAATAGCCCAGTAACCCCCCTCCAGCCAAAGTAGGCAGCAGAACACTAACAACAAAGAAAAACAGAATCAGGGCCACAGAAACTCCTGGACGCCGCCCAATGTCAACCGCACGGCACGAGAAGAAAACGCAAAGGCACAGCGTCGGAAGATCTGCACCTCTACATGCACAGATGAAATGCAACATGCAACATGCGACATGCAACATGGGGCTGGAGTATGCAATAAAACTCGGATAGTGCCACTCGCGGGATCAACATGGTCACCGCCTCGGGTATTTAGTTAGAAGATCAATTTGCAAGCACATCCAGACACAAATAAATAAGGGTGAAGAAAAGACGCATTCAAATGGGTATCCTGCGTTGTTCATCGAACTGAAGGCGTGAAAGAAATGTATTCGGAGGAGCAACAGTCGCTCGTAATCGAGACACGGACCCGGCCATTGGGGCACTGCATCGGTCAGTCGCAGGGACCCAGCTGCCCTTCCGTTTGGGTAACCTGGGCCCGCAAACCCAAGCAAGGAAATGTGAGATATCTCATGGTCATCACACAATGTCTAATCAGTGCATGATGACTAGTGAGAATCCATCAATCCAGGACCCGCTGGATCCCGTGATTCCGGCGATTTTGTATCCCAAAGGAGGTATTAAAGTGTGTCTATGCCAACTTGTCAGTCCCAAAGCACTGCAATCCAAAGCGACGAGATCACGCGAAGGGCTATTCTTACCCTGAGCCTCCCTGGGCATTCCCGAACATGCCAGATTTCCTCCCTTGACTGGTCAAGATCTCAATAGCGTCAATCCAGTGGCCGGCCCGAATATAGAAACCGAGCAAAATCTCCCCTCTCCGAGTATCTAGTTTCTTTATTAGCGCCTGTCTATTAGGTGGGATACGGGGATATTTACCGAGCACGAAATCATCACCGCCAGGTTTCCCTTCTCTGTTGCCAAAGAGCTGACTCGTTGCATCTTCATAGAAGAATTCAAGTCCATTGACTGCGGCACCGTGGTAGATCCGGACCGATGTCAAAAGCTTGGTCGAGATGAAGGCACAATCCAACAACAGCTGCTCGGGTTGGCTGCCTTCCAGCTGAGAAAGTCCTAGTTGTCTACCCTTGTAGCCGGTATGGCTCTTAGGTAGTTTCACCAGGGACAATTTCGATTTCAGAGTACTGATCGACTCCACCGTATGACTGCCAAGAGCTCCAGAGTAGATGATCATTTTGACGCTCTTCTTCTTCTCCTTATCATTGCCGAAGACGCGTTGACGCAGTTCAGTCTCCGTCACGGTGATCTGCCTTGGAAGCCCGTTGCTACTCGACTCACTATTCATATACTCAATAAAGTTATGGCAAACGGTGTCACCTTCGGCATAGAGTTCGATGAACGCGATTCCCGATGGAGCCGTGAGAACAATTTTGCCGTTCTCGACGGGCCAGACCTGAATGCTGTCATCGGAACCTATAGGAGCATCGCTGGGCAATCGGAAACAGGGATGGAACCGGAACCGCAGAACGTCAAGTCGATGCCAGCCACATTCATCCTGTGGTAAGCACAATTTAAGACCCTGAGTCTTCGTTCGGGTGGAAAAGGGCTCGCGTGTGAGGAAAGACCGGTTGAGGCGGACATAGTCCCTAAGCATGATGCCCGACTCTTGGTGTGGACACCCGAAGAGGTGACCGACCTCATGAAGGTGCGCTCCAATACCAATGTTGGCAGCTTCCCAGCTGGATCCAGCCTCTCCGCAATCATTAGCTACAAAGTCGGTGTTTGTTCTAGTGCAATCAGTGAAGGCATCCACGACTTCTTCCATATTAGACGGGTAGCTGTGGAGGCTATGGGAGCCGAAGATCGCTAGCTTGAGATCCCCGGAGTCGGAGCCCAGGGCCGCATGACCAGTGATCACTTGAGAGCCCGTGTCCCAGTGTGAGTCGAGAAGCAACACGGAGACATACTGCTTCTGACCTGGCTGAAGGTGAAAGTAGTCCTTCACGGCATCTCTCGCGATCCGGAATAGCTCATCCTTCTGAGTAGCAGAGCCGTGCTGCTGCGCAATGTCGAGGTCCCGAAGTTCCGCGACTGTCTTGTCGGTCCGAACAACGTGGATTTTGGCCTCGTTTCGCATTTGGCCAGTAGTTGTATCGCGACGACTTGACGTACCCAATTGCCACTCATCCTCAAGCCGGAAACAGCGCCGTCCAAGATTGTTGCGGTACATTTGTTCCCCGGTGAATGCTTGCCACAGGTATGCTGCCATCCGATACTTTTGGATAGCGGTTTCGAGGCCATTTCCATCCCGTTGTTGTTTCTCTGGCGGGGTGTCGAAGGTACCATCAGAATCCTTTCCGAGCAGTATCACCAACTGCAAAGGTGGAGCATTGACCAGTGGGAGATAGTTGATGCAAATCCAGGATGAATGAACCGATTGGTGCGAGCTACCGGACGAATGCTTGCTCGACACAAATTCGAAGCGCAGTCGATTGGGACCGGGTACTAGATGCACCAAAGTCTTGAAGTGTGAAGAAGTGACAGGCCATGAGGTCGACGGGAAGCTATCTTGGTGATGGTAGACTGTGACAGTTCCGTCCAGCGGATGTTGTCGCGGATCTCCAACCTGACCGTAAACAAGCAGTACCTTGTGGTGCACCTATGAATAGTCCACCGAAAGTCAGACCTCGAGCCCACTCACGGTCCACCAGAGATCATATCACTTACCCAAGAGTTTTCCGAGACAGATATGATGCGGGGTGCGTAAGGGGAAGAAGGCGTGGGCGACCGTCCTACTCCATTCACAGACATAGTACTACCAAACTAATAGGGATCCCGGACCATCAGTAAGCAAGTCTACCTCGCGCAGATATGAGATCACATACATAGGCGCTGTTCCGCTGAGAAGAAGAAGTAGTGAGGGGGCCCGGTCGTTGTGGCGGCACGGCAAGGGGTGAGATTGCGCTGGGTGTGCTGCTGCTCTCACTCAGCGACGGAAGGTTGGGAGATGACAAGGTAGGCTTGATCGAGGAAGGAGGCGTGAGGGAGCTGGATGAAGCTGTTTCAAGCGTTGATGACGATTGCCCCGGAGTTACATCGCCATTAGACTGGGATTCGGTCGACTTAGTCTCCGGCGACTTAGTGGTAGTGAAGCTAGCCTTCGAGCGTCGACGTAGCGTCTTGAATAACGGCATGGTGGACGATATTTCTTGGTTGTTGCTGAATCAAGAGGGTCGAAGGAGGGCGAGGAAGTATACTGGGAAGGGAAAGAGAGGCTGAGCAGCGCTGGCCGGTCTGTCTCTTCTGCTTTCACTGCTTTGGGGGATGTTTTCTTCTGCGACCATCCAATGAGAGGTTTAGAGATTCTCCAGGGATAAACGAACGACTGTCAATTTTCCAAGCCGATGTGCTGTCGTCAAACTGAGTATAATTGCTGGGATTCCTGCGCGGGCTAACACGCTGCTGCTCTGCGCTGTTCGGTGATGGTCCCGACAGCAAGCTAGGGAAAAAGCAACCGTTTGCGGTTGCGATTGATCAACAACTGGAATAAGCACCCCGCAATCACTGGAATTTCTGGAAGTTTAACGGTACTTCACAGATTGACAGTTGGTCTGGAGAATAATTGAACAAGCGAGAGACAAGAAGGAGAGAAAGAGAGCAGGAAAGAGAAGAAGAAACGAGGGGAGATAGGACCAACAATGGGGTCAACTAGAATGAAATCATCAGCCAAGTCGAAGGCGGGGAGGGGAAAAGATTAGAGAAGCTGAGAAAAGAGGGAAAAACTAGGAACAAGAAGCAGACCAGAGGCTGGCTTGACCAAGGAAGGAGGGACTTTTGGTGTAAAGGAGGGCCAACAAAAAATAAGAATAATAATAAAAATAATAAAAATATGAGTAAAAATAAAATAAGGGTAGAAATAAAAGTAGAAGGGGAAATTGGGTGATAATCAACGAATGGAACTGGTAGCTGGTGCTTAGGTTGCGTCTATCGCTCTTCTCGCTCTCTCTCGCTCTCTTTTTCTTGGGTTTCTTGGGGGTAGGAAACTAAGGAGAATAATGGATTATGGGACAGACAGTATTGACGGGATACTAGTACTCCGCAGTAAGACTATGAAGAAAAGAGATTGGAAGTGAGAGAAGTGGAAAAGCCGGATGGGGTCGATTAGTGCCTGGAACTAAAACTAAAGAGAACAATCGCCAGCCATTGTGCTAGTCAGTTATGTCATTGGTATGTGAGACACGCAAAATGGTCCAGCAAAACAAGCAAAATAAGCCAAAGAGGGGGGAAAAAAAAAGAAAAGGAAAAAACAAAGAACTGCAACGGCCAATCTCCTACCGGGTTATCTGAATCACTCCCGGTCAGAGCCAGATCCCATTCCCTTTCCGTTACCACGGCTAAAAGCTTGTTCGGCTTTGGTTTGAACTCGCTGTCTCCGTCTGTTTCACCTCGACATGCTATCCTCAGTGCCACGCTGCAGAACCGCAGAGAACCACAGACCCTTGAGCCCTGGCGTTGAGCCCTTCTGCCCCGGTGGTCCCTGAATGCAAGCCGATAGCGACCGAGACCGAGAAGTGCCCCTGTAAATGGGTACAAGGTCGATAACCCCGAATTAAAGGAGAATAGCAGACCGTCAGAAATAGCGATACTAATCACAAGTATTTGCTGCCATCGGCGATTAAGGTGGGGGGGTAGGAGGAGAGGAGGGGAGGGGCCACAGCCAAGCTGCAGCCAGAGGGGGCTCGTTGCGAATAGACAAGGGTGTGTTACGTAGGCTGGATGCCACTGGCCAACAGGGGGAGGGAGCATAAGTGCAGAAAGAATGGTTAAGAACGTGAGATAGTGGTCTCTACCAGACTAAACTACGGTGGAGGGTGGACTAACTACTAACCACTCGCTGTCTTCCTAGCATCACCGTCTCACCATCCCGGTCCGGTGGAGCCTAGCTAGACGATCGTCTGCTATATTTGTCTTTCGGTCTTATCCTCAACCTCTTGCTGCAGTTCCGTGGTAGCAACGCAAACTGCTGCTATCTTACCGTTCCGAGAATCGATATAGGAGCCGAGAGCGGTCGGCCAGTTAAGGCTTATGTACGTACAAAATATCGCTTTGGCCTGACTGAGCAGGAGCCGGTCGGTATGGAAAATCCGTGATGCGCAGAAGAGCAAAAAAAGCAGCAGCTGCAGCGTAATCGCAGGGATCTCGGATCTTCCTTGCTAGCGTTGTACGTACCACGCCGGCAGGCAGAACAGTTTGAGTGGCACGGCAGTAGGTGTTTTGATGGTGGTTGATATTTCTTGGCTGCCGTTCGGCGCACATACCTTGGGACTCAACTGTACTGAACAATCAGAATGTTATCAGGATGCAGGATGCAGCCCGCAGAAAGGGAGGGAGGTTCTGGATCCCTTCCCCTTTTCCCTCTCTTCCTCGGAGTAGCTATGCAAAGCTATTAAATACCTCAAAGTCTCACAGCGAGATAAGAGACAATTGCTATCCCCCTATCTTATTCCCCTGATTTCCTCCCCACTTACACAAGGGCTAACTAACGACCTCGTCTCTCAAGTCTTGTCTACTCAGCTCCAGACATTGATGTCGCACTGTTCAATTTCCTGGAGCGTTTCTTTTGTTTTGTCTTTTGTTGTTTTTTTCCTTCTGCAAATCCCGTCTGTCGTGACTCGTAAGGCATCGTTGCTCGCCCGGGTCACTACTGCGGTTCCAAGCCTCAGCTGGTGAACCCAACTTAGACGGGATGGCGCCTGCCGGTAAGAGGGAGCTTGGCGCCAGGAGCGCCCCCAGCTCCAGCCTCCATGGAGCCTTGAGACTAGATCCATCCCAGAACCTGGATTTGGTCCTGCTAGTCTCAAAGAAGTTGAGAAGAGCCCACCGTGAACGGCCTAATTAACGACAGATTTGTCCCTTATCATGGCGTTGAGAAAACAGCCCCATTGTTGTGTTGTTCCATCGCCCTCACCACCCTCAGCTGTCAGAGTGTGCATACAACACAAGTGGTTGTCTACAAAGAACAATCTGCCCTTACTATCGAGCCCTACCGCCTTTCTTCTATATGCACACATGGATTGCAGTGAAGCTCCCAAAGTGACAGCTGTTCAATCATTAAGTTGCTGATAGACGGCTCCGATTCCGCGATGGTGGTGCTACTGCTGCTATTCGCAAAATCCAATGTTCCGGACCAGGTCCACGTCATGTTTCGCGAGTTCCTTGTTTCTTTCCCATTGTGATCCCAGCGGCTGTGCCCCCGTACTCCGTACTCTTTCTCCTCGTTTGCTTTCCGAGTAGCTCTTCCTATCTGGGTCCCTCCCTGGGGGCCTTTGCCGTGAGAGCTCGACCTGATTGATTATTGCAGGACAACAGGGTGCACTCCACCACCTTAGTCCCCCCGGTGTCTCCATCAGCCTTAACCCTGCTTTCTTTTGAGACGATTCATATTCTGGAGCCCCATGCAGAACAGAACTCTTCTGGTATATAAACTCCTAACCGATAGTAACCAGCAGATAAAATTCTCCGCCTGCGGAAAACCCGCAATGGCGCAAGAACATTTCCGGGGATAAGAATAAGGATAAGAATTGATGGAGAATGTTAGGTGTCACTATGCGGAGCCCTACATGCTGGATATCAAATTCAACCACAGATGCCGGACAGTGGGACCCGTCGGGGGAGTGAGCAGCCACCATGATAGATGCTACCGACTCTTGTTGTTATTCTGTGTATCAGAAGGGCTTTACCAAGTTCCAGACCCTTAGATCTTTTCTACGGACCCTTCCGCTGTACGGAGGTTGATAGATGGCTATGGTCTGAAACCGAGCGCAGGGCATAGAACCCCTTCGGTGGGTGCGGCAGGGACCTGAAGAGCGGAGGGGCGCCGGAGACAGCGGCTAGGCCATGGCAACCAGACAGTGTTTGCCCACCTGGCATCGATGCATCAGCATACTTAGTTATGGTCAATTACCCCGGTTCAGCAGAGGGCCTGCAGCCTGGGGTTGACAGCTGGACATCTAGGTAGAGTCTACTCATGTATGTATCTAGGCAGGCGGCGGGAGAACGAAGGGAGGAACTGGAAGGAATGGATGGAGAGATCGGAAGATTTTCTTTCAGCATATTGAACTGATCAGATTGGCGACGACTGCAGTCCTGGAACATTCCGATGGGCGCAACGGGTACTGTACCATTGGCTGTGGATTGACCAAATATCCTCACTCGTTGCTTCAGAGATTGACATCGGGTTTCAGTAGTGCTTCAAAAAGGGCAATCCTTGGTAGAGAGAATGAATTCAAATCAGCAGAAAGGCCGTAACGTAGTATGTCGTTAACCAAGCGGTGATTTGTGCAGTGTTGTTCAATGTAGACAATCAGAAGTTGAGAATTGCCAGTCACTATTCTTGTTGCTTGCAGGTAGAGTACAAGAGACTTGCTGGTTGACGATAGTGGTTGTGTTGTATTGATGTAAGTTACAAGTTGCCAGGCCGAGCCAAGGGATGGATGCATTGGGAGGATGGAGGAGTGAATGGCGCTTATCCACCCGCTCTCCAAAAAAAAAACCTCTCTTTTTTCCTCCCGTTGAATTTTCGACACAGAACGGTTGACTCCAGAGACCTTCCAGTGCAAATTTCTCACCTGGAACAGTGACTGTATTCATTCACTAATTCGATTGAATTCCCATTAATTTGACCGTCAGCAAGAAGCTTTGCAGCTTCTAGAAGTCCTTTCATCCATCCATCTCAGTTGTTGTTGGTGCTGACTCCAATTGAAGCCGGACTACGGACTAAACTTCCTCACTAAACCAACTTCGACATCGAAACCGACTAAACTTCTCTGGGCTTTACACGATCGATCTTCCTCCAATTGGATTCCATCTTTTGCTTGTTCTTTCAGCCCTTCGTCCCCTCTTCTTTTACTTCCCAGACTTCCACTCCTCAGCCCAGCCTTGCTTCTTCCGGCTTGAAACTCTGTCACAAGCCGGCCTTGCTTTGAACATTACCGACCTGGGGCCCTGTCTTTCTGCTGTCATCACTCCAGGCTCACTCCCTCTCCATCCTCACTAGCCTCCGAGTGGTCTGTGACCACGCCCATCCAATCCTGTTTCCTGCAAGCAAATCCCCGGTGCATCTGCTGTCGTCAAGACTACTACAGAACAATGGCCCTCACTCATCCGCCCACCGCTGAGCGAACGATTCGAAAAATTGACATTGCCCAAGTATGTGATTTACCAGCTCCAATGTTGGACGGCTCCTCTGCATCATTATCTAGACACCAACTAACGGCATGCTTTCTTCTGTGTGTAGGTGTCCCTCAACCTCCAAGATCGTCTCGGCCTCGCCAAGGTCAAGTACCAGAATGGTCGACTCCATGCTATTGACCCCAACGTCAACGGAGGAAGACAGGCTTCATTGGGAAGTGACAAGCCATCGGATTCCTCGTCAGACATTTCCCACGGTCGTAGTGAGACGCCTTTGACTCCGCCGCCCTTGCCGAATCCGTCCTATTCCAAGGAGTTGCCCAGGTCGTCCCGCAACAAACATGCAGCAACCTTCGACTCTCGAGTGATGCAGCCGATGTTGTCAGCCAGTCGGAAACGTCTACGGTCGGACTCAGTCACCGAGCAGACTGTGAAGGCACCCCGAGTTTCCTGGAAGGCTTCATATCATCTGCCTGAATCGTCTCCGGGTTTCAACCGACACCGAGCAGGCCGGCAGCTCCACCTCCCTTTCATGCCAGATTCAGCTACGATTCCAGAATATTCATCGCCCGCATATCCTCCGCCGTCTGAGGACGATAATGATCCAGATCTTCCTGTCCACAGCTTCCAAGCTGTAAGCTCCATGGTGGGCTCCTCCCCCCCGCGCACTCCCCCTCCCAAGCACACCCGTTCGTCCCGCAACGAACGAAACCTACGCCATGAGGACGGGGCCGATCTGCTTCTATACCTTGCCAACTCTCCCACGCCAGCCAGTGTCAGCAAGCCCCAGGCCCGAGATTTTCCTCCTTCGACACCCCCCAGCCAGCATGCCGTTTTACCATCGCTGACCCCAACCCTCGGGGGTGGTGTCTTTCCCAGCTTCGGCACTCCAAATCAACAATTCAATTTTGCTGATTTTGTGAACGTGACGCCGAGTCCAGCACAGCCAGCCTGGGGCGGCCGCACACCAGGGGGGCCGTCAAGGACCCCCCTGGCTAATAAAGACCGCAGGCGCTCCAACCTGGACAGCATGCTACCACCAGGGGCGGATAGCCCCAAAATCCGCTCAAAGGGACCGACGACTGTCTTGCAACTCGGGGAGGAGTTGCGACCGTAGCCCCATCGTCCATTGGATGTATATGCCCGCTTCCAATTATGGCTGCAATTCGGGCTTAATACTTACGACTCTTGATGACTGTTATGTTCACATTTTCCCTATTTTTGTCCTAGTCTCATACCCCCTTTTGCTGTGTTGCTCCTTCTCTGCTTCCATATCCCCCCTTTAACTCGATGAAACCATACCGGGCTACAAATGTCTGAAATTACTTCCCTGTTCTCCATATCACTTTCTTTCTTGTGTCGCAATTACGATCAAGGGATCCCTGGTTATGCTTTTTCTTTGTGTGCGAAAAACAGAACCATGTGACCTACCAATCCATCGGTGAATATTCGACCTCCCTTACCATACCATGGCTTCCCAGTTCCCACTGGATTACTTTTTTTTCATCATATTCACTGACGATGGACTATTCATAAAAAAAAAGTCCTTATCACATGGGTCAGAGACAGAAACCTCAAGAACAATCAAATCCGATAGGCAATCCAGAACTTAGCTAGTAGAAAATCGATGACGTATCCACGAACCCATTCGCAGACATTAATTAAACCAGACGAAAGACATGACGGAAAAAAACCCACCAAACCCCCCCCTCCCCCCACACTCAGGCCTTCAAAGAAACAAATGACGTCTACGCAGGATTTCCTTTCTTGCCGAGCATCGTATTCGTAGGCGAGGGCGTTGCCTCGGTGTTGCGTTGTCGGGGAAAGGCAAAGACAGGCCACGGCACGGGAACCAACAAAAAAAGTAATCAACGCGTCAGCCGCAAACGCGTTAAGGAGCAAGCTGTCGCGTTGATTTCGCGTCGGCGCTAGACTAGTTTGGGGTTAATGGGGCTTGCTAGCCTTAGGCCGTTGGCGAGCTTTGCTTTGTTCGGGTTAGGGTGGTTTGGTGATCTACGCGCGCCCGTGGGCGGGCACGTGATGTTGGTTTTGCCTGGGGGGGTTTTTTTGGAGTATGTACTTCTGGAAAGGTGAAAGAGGAATTTTGGGATAGATTGCGGGCTTGGCTGGAGCTGTCGAGTATTTGTCCTAGCTAGGTATTATGGCTGTTTATATTGGGGAGGTTGGGGGGAGTTTTGGTTGGAATTGCTCGTGTCTAGAGTACCGTACTCGTATATATTCATTCCCAAAACAGAAGGTCATCATCTCATCTACGCCAAATAGCTGGTTTGATATTCTAGGTCATGCCTATGTCGTATGTCGCCAAAGGTGGATCTCTACTCATCAGCATCGTCCGCTGGTGCGGGCGGCTCCCCCTCCAACCTACTCTTCTCAGACTGCTTCCGCCACAGATACGCCAAGTAGTCCGAGGTGGTCGCCTCGTCGATGGACTTGTCCTCGCGGACCTTGAGGAAGCGCGGGAACCGCAGACTGAGGCCGCGTTCCTCGCTCACCAGGCCGATGGCGGCCGGGTACGTCGGGCTGAGGGTGATGTCCGCGAAGGCCATCTCCCAGACTTCCTGCGGCTCGAACCAGACGTCCGGCGCGCCGTAGTACTCGACGTAGCTGGGCCGCGAGATCACGTTCGGCGACCCCTCGGCGTACCTGTCCTTGTTCGCCTGGTAGAACTTGTCGGTGAAGCCGGACATGCACTTGGTGACGGCCTCGAGGCCGCCTGTCTCCGGGTTGCGGACCGCGAGGAGGATCGGCGACCACCACTTCGCCTTGCGGCCGTTGCCGTGCCAGCCGGCGACGGGGATCAGGTCCAGCGTCTCCGAGGAGGTGCTGTAGTCCTTCTTGACCTTGAGCCAGGATTCCAGGCGCTTGTCGGGCTCGTAGGTCGACAGCAGGGCTTTGCGTCGTCCTCCGCCCGCTTTGGATGTCGAAGAGGATTTGGGGTCGGGTTTCTCGCCAGGGGCGGGGTCAATGGGCGGCGCGGTGGTACCGTTCGGCTCAAGGTCCGATTTGAGGACGTTGTCGAGCACCTTCACCATGATGCCTTCGCATTTGATGTCGGTGGCGCTTTTGAAGAAGTCGAGGACGGCCTCGGAATCGGCGGATGTGGCGTCGAGACTCTTGACCCAGGTGAACCGTTTGGGCACTTCAACAAATAGACTCCGTAGGAGCTCTCTACGCTCGCGGAATGAGCGATCCAGCAGTGGTTGTCCGTTCAGGTACATCAAGTCGAAAGCGAACAAGCACACATTCACTTTGATAGATCCTATGTCGACGTTCTTTTTCGCGCGGTTGGTGAGGATCTGGAAGGCTTGCAGATCCCCCGTGTCCTGATCGACTGCAACCACCTCGCCCTCCAAGATGAAGCTGGACACTCCTTCGCCCCGGATCTGGGGCACGAGAGACACGAGATCCGGGTACTTCTCGGTCATATTCTCCAGATGGCGAGAGAAGACGGACACCTTACCCGCCTCGTCGCAATGAACCTGGGCGCGTTGTCCGTCGTATTTGTACTCGCAGGCAAAGTCTCGCCCTTGTAGCTTGGTTAACATGTCTGATAGATCGCGCGTGATGCTGCCTAGCATCGGCCTGAGGGGAATGTGTAGTTGTAGTCCGCAGCGCACAAGGAGTTCCTCTGTCACGCCGCTTTCGAGGAGGCATGGTACAAGATCGTCATAGTTCGGATGTCTAGCATAGGATGCCTTGACAATTTCCTCTGCATTGCTGTAGACCTCGGCGAGTTCTTCTTTCTTCAAACGCGCCATATCTTGTTGAGGTTGGACAGCAAACTCAGCACCCTCTGGTTTGGAGTATAGAAAGGCTCGGGCCAGCGCAATAAGCATTGTCGTCTTGACAGCCCCGATGCGCAGATTCTGGACGAGTGTCCTGACAATGTATCGACTCTCTTCTGCACCACGAGCGTCCTGCAGTAGCTTTTCGACTATCCTCTGCTTGGCCTCCTGGCTTCCACTTCCTTTACTCAGGGCAATCTTCTTAAGAGCTTGGTACACGCCCTTGATCCTCAGTGGCTTGGGCTTCATCAAGGTGAAGCTCTGCCTCTTCTTGGCCTCGAAGGCCACGTCGCCTGCGTCGCCGTGCTTGTCGTAAAGCGACTTGAGACCCTGGCTGTTAAGACCATAAACCTTCTTCAAAGCCTTAGAGATCGAGGACCCGCCTAGGCCTAGCTCTATCTCATCGTACGGTGGTGAGATTGAATTCGTCGCAAGCCAGACTGCGGCAAGAACGCTCGAAGGGTCGCCCTCGATTAAGGCCCGAAGGAAGTTGACTAGAGTATCCACGATCTTGATACGGCTGGTTGTTGCGTTCGCAAGAACGAAAGCTCTGGTAAGAAGCGCGTATGTAGCGTCGCCTCCCTGCGCGGCCCAGTGCCCCTTCAGCTCCTGCGCATATTTGGCCGCGTCAAATGTGATGGGGCTCTGGTCGAATGGTACAGCCAGAGAAACTGTATCTTCTGTTCCCGTCGATGACTGAAGAGATAGTATGCCTTTACTTTGTCCAGTGATTGGTTTCAGGTCGGTAACCTCCGAGTCTAGAGGCGCCGGCGTAGGCTCGCTAGTGGGAGTATCGACCTGCGATGTTGGAGCGGCAATCTCTTGGTCCCACTCAGCCTGAAGCTTGCGAGCAAGAGCCTCGTCAGATAGAGTCTGTTCATCTGGGGTTTCAGTTTCAGCTGGAGTCTGCAATGCTTGCTGGGTCTTCTCCGCCTGCTTGCTGGCTTGACCTTGAAAGAATGAGGCTATGCTCCGGTTGCGCTGAGCGGAGGATTCGAGGTCATCCCTTTTACGCTTCTTCGCTGGACTGGCCATCACTTAAACCGAGGACAAAGGTCTTGTCAAGCAGAAGCCATTGAGTTTGAGGTGCTGCGACGTGCTTCATAGTGTCTTGAGCTACGGGAGGGAAACGATGACGTTAGTTGGACGGAACGGGCAGCGGGAAGTCCAGAGCTTCCCGCCGCTAATTCTCCGTTGGAGACACCGTAGCGGCCGTCCACTTTGCGACTCCACGCTGTACTTTTTCCCCCGCCAACTTCTCCAAAAAACAATATCTCACTTCGCGAACAATGGCCACTTCTGCATCTGCCTTGTCATCGCATGAGAGGACAAGAGTGGAGGATTACTTGAACGATAAACTCCAGGTTTCTGCTGATCTAGAGAGCCTCGACTCCTTGTTGTCAAGTCTACGATCCCAGCATGAGCTGCAACGCAAGCAGGTACATTGCCTAGCCCCTTTGCTTCAACGGCCATACTATACTTCACCTTGCCTTTTACTATGCTGACGTAGGACTCAAAATAGCTAGCCGAAGCACAAGAAGCTCTCTCCAATGCCACCAAGGCCTCCAACGACCACGCCGAAGCCACTCGCCAGCGAGCCGAAGCATTCAACGTGCAGCAAGAGGATATTGACAGGCGCCTGAAAACAATCACTGGATCCGACTCCAGCGATGACGCGGCCAAACGGTTCGAGGCTAGTATCGAAAAGCTGCGGAGGCTTGAGATTTCTAGGGGCTACATGGCTGTGTTGAAGGAAGCGGAGGAGTTAAGGTGGGGAAATAGCTTCAAGTTGCCTTCTGTGCTTCGATTGCTAAAACTGGATACAGCCAGCAAACCATGAAGGACACCGGAAGTGATCCCAGGTTGGCGATTCAATCATATACTCGGCTTCGCAACATCTCTCGATCATTGCACGAGGCCCAGCCGGCAGCAGAAGGGGCCGCCCCTCACTTGGTCGATTATGTGGGGAAGTTGGTTTCGGCGCTTAGAGAGCAAATGAAGAGCCATTTCTCGCAGCGGCTCCAAGGAACGATGGACCGCATGAAGTGGCCTTCGAAGGACTTGCAGTTCCCGGATGATGTTCAATTGGAGTGGAGGGAGAACGTCGGATTGCTCCTCGACTTGCAGATACCGTACGCCTTCATTGAATTCTTGTTGCAGAAAGCACTTAATGCTCTAACACAAATGATACAGGGAGCTTACTGGCCGCGCTTCTTTGCCCGAGCATCACTGCGCTGAGCCCTCGGTGCTGTTGCCGCTCGAGGTGATGGTGCATCCGCTAGAACTTCGGTTTAAGTACCACTTCAGCGGGGATAAGCCGACGAACAGGCTTGACAAGGTACCGTACTATACCGTGCAACTCCCGTGCTGAATGCCATGAGTCTAAAGAGTCGCAGCCGGAATACTTTTTAGCTCATATCACGGACCTGATGAACAACTTCGGGAGTTTCTTCGCCTCGTTCTTGCAGCCTATATTCGATGAAAAGGCGAAACAGGTCGGAACCGACCTCGAGTGGAACTTCTATAATGCCTCTCATGCCTTTATCACAGCACTCTTGCCTGTGTTGCGGAACAAGATAGCCACCTTCATGCCTCAAATATCGACACATCCACAACTCCTGAGCCATTTCGTGCATGAATTGATGACTTTCGACGGCGAGGTTCGCGAATCCTGGAATTATCTACCGGACCCCTACGTCACTGGGGACTGGAAAGGTGTGACGTGGGAGGTCCTGACCAAGCAGGGTTGGTTTGATCGCTGGCTACAGGTTGAGAAAGACTTCGCGCTAGCTCGCTACAAAGAGATCGTGGATGCACCAGACAGCGGTCATATTGACTACGATGGTGTTGAGCTCTCGTCAACGAAACCGACCAAGGCCGCGATCCGTGTCAATGACCTCCTCGAAACAATCACCGAGCGCTACCAGCATTTATCGTCGTTTAGTCAGAAGCTTCGCTTCCTTATCGACATCCAGATCACCATCTTCGACCAATTTCACGAACGCCTACAGTCGGCTTTGGAGGCCTACCTCGCCATGACCTCAGCTATCGGTCGGACCGTGCAGGGCTCGGACGGACAGGCCAGCGTCGAAGGCGTGGCTGGACTTGAGCGACTTTGCAGGGTCTTTGGAAGCGCGGAGTGGCTGGAGAAGAAGATGGAAGACTGGAGCAACGAAGTATTCTTTGTGGAGCTCTGGACGGAGCTCCAAGAGCGCGTCAGGCTGAATAAGGACGGGGGCAAGAACGTGGCGGGCTCAATGTCCATCGCAGACGTTGCATCGCGCACTTCCCAGGCTGTGAACAACAACAACAACAACCACCACCACCACCACGACGATCAAGGCACAGCCTCCGAAGGCGCCCTATTCGACGAGACTGCTTCCGCATACCGTCGTCTTCGACTCCGCTCCGAGTCGATTATCACATCCACGCTAACATCAAATGTGCGCTCCGCTCTGAAGCCTTATTCCCGCGTTTCTACCTGGACAACCCTGGCAACCACAACGCCGGCTCCCAACGGCGCTCCTCTGCCGCCCACATCCGACCTAGCCCCTGTCCTGCGTACCATTTCCGCAGAGCTATCCTTCCTCTCCCGAGCCCTGGGGTTCGCCCCCTTGCGCCGGATTACCCGGCAGGTTCTTCTCGCGATTCAGACGTTTATGTGGACCAGCATCCTGATGAGGAACACGTTCTCAGCTTCTGGGGCTCTGCAATTCATTAGCGACATGGACCACCTCGGCAGTGTGGTTGACGTCGCTTTAGGCGCGGCGAGCCAGCCTGGCGGCTCCAAGAAAGTGCTGAAGAAGTTAAGCGAGGCGCTTCTACTGCTCGGGCTGAGTACGACGGAGCCAACAGCTCTGGATGGTGCCACAGACCCGAGCGAGGATGAGCCCACGGAAGCGGGCCCCCGCGCTCAAGCCGGACTCTGGGAGGTCGAAAAACGGCTTTTCAAGGACAACGAGAGCGCAAGAGAAGTTCTAGCCGAGCTTGGAATCGACTCGTTGACGGAAGCGGAGGCTAGAAGTGTCTTGGAGCGGCGAGCCGAGATTGGTAACTAGTGCTTGAGCATAAGAGGGGGCCTTTTTGTGCATATTGCGGGCCGGTGAAGTACTTGAACTCATAAGATATCCATTGAACGTATTTTGACCCTATTGACAAGCGTCTTGCGACGACATTATAATTTCTATGTTCTATTCTATTAGTTTTTGTTTTGTTTGTCTTCCCTTCTAAGCCTCACGCCAGTGTACAGCCACTCTGAAAGAAATATACCAACCAGACTGTAGAATGTTGCACTCAGAATACAGTCGGACTGACCCGCCCAGAGAGAAATGGGATTTATCAACGATGCACGACAAGCCCATGATCCCAGCGGCACCCGGCACGGCTCTAGCGACCCTGGGCCTTCAACTTCTCGACAATGGCGGGGCCGACCTCCTCAATGGCCCTGAGCAGCGCCTCGACCGTCTCCTTCGTGGTCTGCACGTTGACCACGCAGCGGAAGAACTTGCCGTCACCGACGGCATCCTCATCGCCACTGGGCGGGGCGAAGTCGACCATGAACCCTTTGTGGACGATCGCATGCGTCACCTGCTCCGTGACCTTGCTGTTGGCCTTGGCCCTCTCGGCCTCGGCTTCAGCCGTCGTCGTCGTCGTCGCCGGCGCGCGCGGGTAGACCATCTGCCGCTGGGGCGCGTAGTAGAAGCAGACCTGCAGGCACGGGGTGGGGTTCTCGCTGACGAGAATGAAGTTGTGGTTGTGCTGGACCAGGGTGGCGAGGTGGGCGGCGACGGCGCAGGCGGAGTCGATCTGGCGCTCGTAGCCGGCAGAGCCGTAGTAAGTCCAGCCCAGGAAGAGCTTGAGGGAGTCGGCGCGGCGGCCGCACTGCAGGGTCAGGTCGGCCAGGTCCCAGACCTCGGGGGAGTCTATTTCCGCTTCTTCTTCTTCCTCCGAGGAACTTTCCGACGACTCGGCCGTCGTGTCCGGGTTGTGGAAGAGGTAGCCGGCGGGGAGGGTGTTGGCGCGGTGGAAGCGGCGGAGGTCGGCGGCCAGAAGGAAGGAGCAGGTGACGGGGACGCCCAGCATCTTGTGCGGGTTGATGGCGATGCTGTCGGCGAGCTCGGCGCCGGCGAGCTTGTGGCGCTGCGCCGCCGAGAAGATGAAGGAGCCCCCCCACGAGCCGTCGACGTGCAGCCAGAGCTTGTATCGCTTGCAGAGGGCTGCGATCGCGGCGAACGGGTCGAACGACCCCAGCACGGTCGTGCCGGCCGTCGCGTTGACGTAGAACGGGGTCCGGCCCTCGGCCAGCGCCTGCTGGATCAGCCGCTCCAGCTCCGCCGGGATCATCCGCCCCTGCTTGTCGACTGGCACCGCCCACACCGCGCTGCTGCCCAGCCCCAGCATCTGCGCCGCCTTCTCGATGCTGTAGTGCCCGTGCGCACTCGTGAACAGCACGAACCGGTGCCCCCCGTTGCCCTCGCGCTTCGTCTCCGGGTACAGGTTATTGCGCGCGATCACGATCGAGGTCGTGTTGGACGCCGACCCGCCCTGCACGGAGATGCCGCCGGCGCGCGGGCCCGTGAGCCCGAACAGCGCCGCCAGACGCTGTCCCGTGTACTTCTCGATGACCGTGAGGGCCGGCGAGACCTGGTAGACGTGGACGTTCGTGTTGAGGGCCGCGAGGATGAGCTCCGACGCGACGCCGGGCGCATTGGTCGAGGCGTACAGCTTGTCGAGGAACCCCTGGTGCCAGGTGTTGACCGAGTAGCGGAGCACCTGCCGGAGAACGTCCACCAGACCATCTTGACCCGTGCCTTCCTGCGGCAGGCTCAGCTGGAGCAACCGCTGCAGTTCCTCCGGTCTTTTGTGCTCGACTAGCGATGTGCCATTTTCGTTGTCGTCGTTCGGGGAAAGGGATTTGTTGGAGGCGAGAGGGTCCAAATCCGCGCTGCGGATGAAGGGGATCAGGAGGTCTTCGACTGCGCTCAGGAGCTGAAGTAGATGCGATCAATGGTTAGTCTTGATTGATTGACGAATAGTAAGGTAGGCATGTCGATGATCTACTCCCCGCTGGAATGCGACAATGGGACGAGAAGTGGACGAAGGAACTCATGACTCACGCTCTTGACCTCCTCCGCGCGATCTGCTGGCGATAAAGCAGCCATTGATGTGTGAGCGTATCAAGCCTGAGACTAGAATGTGTTGCTATATCGGCTTCAAACGAAGCTAAGGGTTGCCCGCAATTTAAAAAAACTTGAAGGTCAATTAATCGGAAATTCGTGGAGCCAAGCAGCGCCGCTCAAATGGGGACCGTTTGCGGATCCACAGACAGTCCCGGAATGGCGACAAATCCCGGGTTTTTGACATCATGGATGGATCCGCCGTCCCCGAGACAGACTCTGGGGGTTTTCTGCGGAGTTGTGACAGGCAGGGTAGCTTAGATCGGGCGAGTCCTCTGGATGGAGTAGGATTGGGACTGTTGTTGTTACTAGTTAGTACTTATCTTTGTTACTTATCTGCTGCAGATGTTGGTTTATTTATTGGTGTAACCTCGGCTCCATGACTCCTGTTCTGCACTGCACATTGACACAAAAGAAAAATACCTCAAAATATCGATAGCTTCACACCTGCTTGCTTTTCCCAACCGAAGCCCACAGAACTAACTACCTAATAATGTACAATTTAGATGACCGCTTTTTGCCACCCGTGGTTATTTCACATATTGCAACGAAACAGTAAACTATACCCCAGAATAGATCGCCGAGATGTGTCGTCCACACTCAACCCGTTGTTCCATGTTCACCGTGCGACGACCGACCTTCCCCTTGTGACGAGGCATTATCTGAAGCCGTGCATCCTGCTTCTCAGCTTCTTTCTTGCCCTCAGCAGGCGCATTGATGTAGATCGGCTTGGACGAGTTGCTACGCCTGCCAGTGCCGAGCTGGAAGTGCTCGTTGCCGCCCCACCAAAGGACATCGTAGCCCCAGGCATTCGTTTCATCCAAGGAATCCGTAGAAGCTGCGTCCATCTGCGTGTTGTTGTCCATCACTGCCGACACATGTGTCGTACCTACGGAGATATCACGCATGCGGATGGGGGCGAGTCCCTTCAGGCGCTCATCGTATTCGAACAGCCCACTCAAGGGTTTCACCTTTGTAAGGGAGTCTTGGATATGAGTCCATTTACCGTTACCCAGTGCACCCCAAATCCCCCGTCCACACGTCCAGACATCAGCCGTGACACGGCCCAGGTCGCGGACAGTGGAAGGGTTCTCATTCGAACCTAGTACCCGCTGTGCATCCACAGCGATGAAGCTATTGGCGCCTCCGGCGGCAATCCGAGTGGCCTTGGGGAGGTATGGGCCCCGATAGAGTCTCCTGATCGGCACCATGATGGGCGCATCGCAGTACGGGAATGACGGGTCGAATTCCATCCCCAACTGACCGAAAGAGTTATCACCGAAGGCATACACATTGCCGTGGTCGTCGAGGGCCATCGAGTGATAGTCGCCGGCCGCAACCTGGATGATCTTGGATCCCTTCAGGGCGCTGACCTCGTGGCACATGTCCACCGGTCCCTTGGGGCGATTCGCCCACTTCAACCCCGATACACCAAGCTGGCCGAAGGAAGGATAGTTTTCCGATGAAGAGGCAACCGAGAAGACGCGGCCTGAGCTGGTAAGAAGCAGTGCGTGATCGATTCCGCCGGTGACAGCGGTCACCCTTTCACCCATCCTCAGGCTGGGTTGCAGCTTGCGATAGCTCACACTAGCCGATCCAGACCAGAAAGGCACCCAGGAGCCCTCACTGGGCTTGTGGCCTCCTAGTTGGTCTTCCTTGGCAATGGGGATCGAATAGACAGTGCCATCCGATGACAAAGTAATGAGGCGGTCATTGGACATGCAGAGCGAGGTGAGGTTCTTGCCAGTCAGGGTCGTCGTAGGCTTGAAGTCGGTCTCCGAAAAGCCCTTGCCCCATTGCACCAAATCGCCATTCTCAGTGATGGCCGCGCCGGACGTCTCGCCAAGCCTGAGGTCTCTCAGGACCTGGCCGTCGAAGTACGAAAACCTCCGCGGAGTCTTCACTACTGAGTCTTTCGATCTTGGGTCGACTACTTTGTAGGCATTGTTGCCCCAGACATAGACACCGGGACTCTTGACACTCCGTTTCTTCTGCACAAATTGCGAGCCGAAGTCCTGGGTGGCGTTTGTGAGATCCTTCACATGTTCTACTGGGGTCTCAAGTTCATTGCCCTTGGACGTGGCGTACTCATAGCCCAGGTATCCAGCAGTACCTAAGGTTGCCACACCCAGCGAGTTCCGAAACCAGTGAGAGGAAGATCCCTGGTTGTCGCCACTGCTGGCATAAAATCGCCGCCAAGGAGCTCCCACAGCTCGACTGTTCCTCGCTAAGCGGCGAGAAGCTTGAATGGCGAGGCTGGTCGCCGATTGCCGTCCCCGAGGTGTCCACATGATGTTCAAAAAACCTAGAATAGGTTCATACAGTCAGAGTTGCTCAGATTGACTGGTCTGTGCTTATGATAAGAACTCAAAGGCAAAGCTCCAAAAGATTAATTGTGAATGGTCGTTGCGTCAGATACCGTAAGCGGAAGGTGGCGGCAGAATAGCGCCGCATTGAAGCCACGGAGGTTGCGGCGTGTTTACAAACACTATGTGCGAAACGGCTCGCGGGATGCTGACCGGACTGCCTGCTGCTTGAATTGAGGGCCTAGAACCAGGCACCAGGACAATTATATATTTCTGAGCAGTCTCATCTAGTAAGAGACAATGCGCCAACAAGCTGCGGGTCAGCGAAGTCGTCGCCAGACTGCCCCGTCTGGACCGCCGATGGATATCAAGGCCAAGGTGATGGATGAGCACGAGACCATTCCGGATGGTCTGGAATCTTTCATCGATGTTAAAAATGAGCTGGAATTTGCGCAATGGTATAATGATATTGAGGGTAGTCTGCTCGAAGCCAGCTACGATGAGTATCAGTAAGTCGCGCAACAAGCCGCCGCCGACAAAGCCCCTGATACATGCTGACCTGTCTTTCTTTCAGAGCATGTTTACAGGAGCTCCAGTTATCCAAGACCCACCTAGATTCCTTGTTATCGGACACATCATCGACCCTTAATCTTCTCACGAACCTGTCCAATGACTTCAAAGCCGTGGAGTCGCAGACTTCCAATTTCCAGAAGCAGTGCGAAGGGCTTCTCTCCGCGCAGAAGCACGATCTGGAACTCGCCACGGACATCCAGGATAATCTGCAGTACTATGAATTTCTCGATCCCGCTTCAAGGCGGCTTAACGCTCCGGGTGCTGGAAATACTGTGCGCGGGCAAGAGTTCTCGGATATGCTCAGACGACTCGATGAGTGCTTGGACTACATGGAGGTACATGTGAGTACATATGGCGTCATGGTCTTGTTATATCACCGCGTTAATCAGTATTGCTTGTCCAGACCGACCAAAAAGAGGCCAGCGTGTACCGCTCCAGGTATCGACTCCTGATGACTCGAGCCCTCACTCTCATTCGAACACACTTTGTCACTTCCCTGCGCGATATTTATGCCGATGCCTCCAAGAAGATTGCCGACAAACAGCTCAATGAGACAACGATGTCCACCTTGCTGTATGCGAAGTTCCGGGTCGGCGCACCGGAGCTGAAACAGATTGGCCTCGAGATCCAGAAACGCGCCGTGCCTCCGTTGGACCCCGACCAAGGCACGGAAGCCGAATATCAGAGCCTTCTCAACGAGCTTCACGCCAACTATGCAGCGACTCGCGGGAAACTGATGATTCCGCTGGTCCGCAAAAATCTCAGCGACATCGCGCAGTCGCCTACCTCATCACAGGACCTGGTTTCTTTCGCTCGTGCGAGCATTAGCTACATCCGCGGGGTCTGCTTGGACGAGTTTGAACTATGGGGGGAGTGGTTCCATGGCCAGGGTGGGCTCTATGACTTCCTCGAAACCATCTGCGAACCTTTGTATGATCACCTCCAGCCCAGGATCATTCATGAAGACAAGATAGTCAAGCTTTGCCAGCTTTGCACGCTGCTGCAAACCCGATACCTATTCGATCAGGATGAGGAGTTGGAGCAACCTCTGGACGCCAACCAACTCGACTTCACCACTCTAATTCAACCTGCTCTGGAAGACGTTCAAACTCGCCTCGTCTTCCGTGCTCAAGCTTTCCTCCGCGACGAGATTGAACGGTACAAGCCCCGTCCCGAAGACCTGGATTATCCAGCACGCAACCGGCAATTCTCAATCTCGGTCACGGAGGGCCAAATCTCCGGCCGCAAGATTGCTTCCGAGCCCATTGTCAACATCCAAAAGCCCACGAAACACATCGAAGATAGCACAGATGCAGACCCGGATGCAAAGTGGGATCTTGAGACTCCAAATGCCTTTAGTGGGTGGTATCCGACCCTCCGTAAAGCCATCTGGCTCCTGAGCCGCATTTACCGGCTTGTCAATGTAAGTCCTCGTTCTTTATGAATCATCCAGGCCAACCTACTCATAAATGTTCAGTCGACTGTCTTCGACGATCTCGCCCATCAAATCGTCCACCAAACCACCCTCTCCCTCCACTACGCCAGCACTCTAATCCCCCCCTCTACTACTACAAACAATCCCAAACCCGCAACTCCTACTCCCCCAACTCGTCTAGAGACCCACCGCCAACTCTTCCTAATGAGTCATCTCCTCATCCTTAAACAACAAATTGTCGCCTTCGACATCGAATACGTCGCCCCGGAAACCTCTTTAGACTTCTCTGGTCTAACGCACACCTTCTGGGAGCTTCGCGAAGAGCGCGGCGGCCTTTTCAACCCGCGCAATCTCGTCCGCCTGGTCGGCCATGGCCTCCTGCCCCGCGTGGTCGAGAATATGTTAGACGCGAAAGTCGAATTGGATGGCCGTCTCCGGACCGTGATCAACGACTTTATCAATGGATTTGCCGGCACAATGACCGCATCACTGCCTGCGAAGTTCGTGGCCACCGCCGCCGCTCAGAGACAGGCAGCGGAGGAGTGGATCTATCCGACGTGTCGGAACATCGAAACTGAGGTGCTGGGGCTGAGGCGCGTGTTGGGGGAGTACCTGGATGATCTGCGGATGCGGGAGACGTTGGTCGGGGCGGTTCAAGATCGGGTAATCCA